GGAAGGAAGGAAGGAAGGAAGGAAGGAAGGAAGGAAGGAAGGAAGGAGAATCCTGTCCCTAGGGAAGAGAACTTCTCCCCATTGGGTAAAAGGAACCCTCCAATTTCTCTGCCTAGAAGGACGGTGGTGAAAAGAGGTGAAGGAAGAGGAAGACCTGGGCTAACTTCATGGTATATTTTTTCATCAAGCCCCCCCCCCCCAATGTACTGCATCCTCCCCCCAGCTGGCTATAGCCTCTGTCATCCTTTCTCCTGTTTCCAATCCCTACTAGCTTTCCGAGGGAAGGCGAGATTGCTGCCTATGTTCATGCTTGTCCGTACTATTTAGCTCCTTCTCCTGGCTTCCCTCGCTTCTAGCTGTGGAAGGAAACATGGAAAGGTCTTCCACATTGCTCCTCTCAGCAAGCGAGCATGCAACGGGGTCAAGCGAATGGCGGAGCAGGTCTGGAAAGCTTTCCGTGGGGGCAGGAGCTTGGACAGGGGCTGCAGACCCCGAAGCCTGCTCTGGGCCAGACAAACAGGAGAGCCTCCGCCATTTCCAGCACGTTGTTTCCGTGCCCACACTTGCTTCTACGGTCACTTGGGTCTATTTATCGGAAACACCAGCAGTCCAAATAATACCACTTTTAAACATAAGTCTTTCCCAGAGTGGATGCTTCCCTCTCGAAAGCAGATGCTCTCTGTGCCACATCAAACCAAAGCTCTCCTGCCACTTGGCTCTTTTCTCCCCAGATCTCTAGGGAATGATTTTGTTTAGAAAGGGGTGCATTAAGTATCAGAAAACAAGTGCAGCCGCTACTGATTGGTGCTGTAACGATGCTGCAATGTATAATCTCTCAGCGTGGGCAAAACTGCACGCCGATTTCTTTCCAGGGATATTTTCTCCCTCTTATCCCCACAGTGGAAATTTTGCAACGTGGGCCCGAAAGGTGTCTATTAGTGCCCAGCATTGGTTTGATGGTTATTCACGTCCCCAGGTCCAAGCACAGGAAAGCCTCGTCCTATTCATTTGTACTGCTGTTTAGCACTGAGTCACTGGGTCGCTCCCGCAAAGCCACCAATGAGCAAGAGTCTCGTGGCTCTTTCTGGACACTGATGTGCGAAAGGGCTGCATGAGTGTGTGGGGGAAGATGTGGCAAACGACAGCTTTTCTTTATGCCTGTATCCTATTTCTACACCGCACATCATCCAAAGCTCTTTGGGAGACTCACAAAAGAAAACTTTATACCGTGTATACAATATCATTGTCAAACATAATACAGTAAGTTTAAAAGAGGAATAAAAGCAAAGTAGGAGTCGTGATAAAAGCTAGCAGCATGCAAAGATCCAAATATGCACAAATGTACTTTTTTTCTTTTAATGAAGGGCTAAAAGTTCTGTGAAAATGGAAAGGCATTCCCCTGCAAGGCCCTGGTTTAGGCACAGCCGCACCTTTGGGGATGATCTTAGCATCGTGGTAGCTTTATAGGGAAGGTGATGGTCCTTCTGGTAATGAGATCTCCAGCTGTTTAGGGCTTGTAGGTGAATACCGGCATTTTGAGCTGAGCCTAGAAGTGGAATGGCCTCCACTGCAAAAATCCTAAAGCACTGGTGGATATAAGGCCATGCCCCAGCCCCTTTCAATGATCTCACTGTCCTGTTTCTAAGGCGCCCCACTCATAACGCATTGCAGTCCTCCAAATTAGGGGGTACCATCACATGGCTAGGCTATGACTCTGCAGTTAGGGACACAGTGTGGATATTGTCCTCGGGGGTGATAACAGCTGGTCCGTGCGACTTAGGGCACCTGTATCTCCAACGACCATGCTGAGTCTAAGATCTAAGCACACCCCCCAGTGGAGGGCCTGCTCCTTAGAGGAGGCAGCATGCCATCCCGAAAAGGTTGAATATCAGTTACCTGGGCAGGAGAACCACTTACTGGCATACCTCCATGTTATATGAATGAAGTTTTAATTTACTGGTCCTCTTTCCATCCACCGCTGCATGCAAGCCTTGTTTCAGGAGGCCAACTGCCTCCCCCTGGGTTTGAGGAAGAGAGAAGCAGACGGTCTACTAGTCCATGGATGAGTTCTGGATAACCACCCTCAGGGATTAAATACTGCCCTGTGGAACCGCATGGGACAACAGTTCCTTTCACCACCTTCTGGAATTGGCCATCCAAATAGGGCCTCTGCCATTCAGTACCTCCAGCATGAATCCCAGATTGTCTATCCAGAAGGCTGTGGTGTCTGATGGCACCAAAAGCTACCCAGAGGTCCAAGAGAACCAACAGGGTCACGTTCTCCCACCCCTCCCTTGGCAAAGATCGTCCAAGATGGCCAATGAAATTTCCATTCCAAAACCAGACCTGAAGCCTGATTGGAATGGCTCTAGAGAACTACTATCCTTCCAGGTGCCTGGAGTTGACTGATGACCTCCTGCTGTCGTCCCAGTGCCCACCTCTTCTTAACACCACCCATCCTACTGCTCAATAGTCAAAGCTCTCTGAGCCGTTTACAACAATCCATTAACAACACAATCTAAACTATACCACATTATAAAAACATGGTTTAAAAAGCTGTCGTACCAAATTTGAAACCACATCTAAAACAGATACAACATTCCAATAAGATAAGTCTTGGAACCTGATTAACAATGCCTCAGTCAGCTTATTAAATGCGCCGCAGTGGGGACAGCCTTGACCTGGCACTGAACAGATAGTAAGGTTGGTGCCCGACAGGCCTCAGTGGGGAGTGTGTTCCAAAACTGGGGACCACCACTGAAAAGGCCTTGGTGCCACCAATCGAGCCTCCCTTTCAGGGTTTGTTCATGAGCCATCCAGGTTCGATTCTACATGGATCTCCACTAAGGGCCTCAGGCATGAACGGCTGGGCTTTCCCCATTCATTTTGTGGTTAGGGAACTTCCAAACCTACAGATCATGATTGGGTATGCAGAGCTGAGCTTGAAATGAAAGTGGAAGGGAGCTCCTGAGGGGGTGTATCCTATGCTCCTCAGAGACACCCCTGCCTTCCTGGCTTAGATAAACTAGGTCTACCAGCCCATGTGGAAGAGGATGGGGGGAAATTCAGGAGAGCCCTGGAAGGCAAATTCTTATAGATGGTCTTCCCCATTCAATGCGGTGTTGGGGAAAGTTCCACCCGTGCAAATGGGTGGGACATGCTCCAATGCCCAAGTAAATGAAACATAGAATCATAGAATAGAAGAGCTGGAAGGGGCCCTGAAGGCCATCGAGTCCAACCCCCTGCTGTTTCAGGACACACATTACACCATGAAGCATGCATGGCTGTGCTGACTGGGGTCTTTTCAAGGGAAAAATTGGACACACTATTTCAGGTCCTGGTTTGCCTTAGAACAAGGCATCTGGAACGGAAGGAAGACACATGGCCGCTGCATGCATGTGTGTTGTGTGAGAGTAATTTCTTGAAGGGCCAACCACCACCCGTCCCAAGTCAATTGTGTGTTGCCACCATATTGAAAGGAATTTTTGCAAATCTGCCAAAATACGAGCCAAGCTTTGAGCTCTCATGTACCCGAGTTCAGTCCACGGAAGTCTGGCAACAGTGGGGTAGAAATTACGGCAAGGGTTAACATCGTTGTGCCGGGTGTGATCTAAACCCAATAAACCTACACGTGATCTCTTTGCCTGATTTTGCAGATAACTTTGAGTAAGATGCAAGTGACTGTTCAGATTTAATGTTTTTTTTTCTATCTTCTCTTTCTCTTTCTTTCCTTTTGTGTCGTGAATGTCTAGATTTATTATAAAGTTATTAAAGAAATAGAGCCCGGAGAAGAGCTGCTGATGTATATGAAGGAAGGCACTTATTCTGCTGGGAACATGGCCCCCAGCTTGGAAGGTGAGACCAACCCCTTTCCATTCCCTGGAAGACCCAAGCCTCCACTTGCATTCTTGGGCACATTGCGAGCTGCACCTATCATTTATTCCGCCCAGCGGTGTGACCGCAGCAAGTTTCCCTCCAAGCCGGCTCTGCTACTCAGTAGATAATCCAGCCAATCAATTTCCAGGAAGGGGTAACCAATTGCCAGCCAAAATAGCAGCAGGGTGCCTGTCGCAGGGAGGGGTCCTTCAGCAAGTGCTCAGCAAAATGAAATGACTTTGGATTCCAAAACTGGTCTGGGTTGTGCTGTTGTGGTTGGGTGGGGAACGCTCCGAACCGGTGGCCCATCATGCGCTTCCGCGGATCGTGCAACAGAAGTATCCGTGTCCGGGTTTCAGGAAGAGTGGGAAAGAAATAAATCAGCACATCTTAGGGGACAACCCTAGGCATGGTTGGACCAAGCAAACTTCTACGGCTCCCAGCATTCCTCTGACTGGGGAATCCTGGGAGTCGTAGGCACTTTCTCGCCTGAGCGTACATAAGCTTGAGGTTTTCGGCAATTAGGAATCAAGTGGCAATTAAACCCCAAGCCCTCCACTGAAGATCTGTTGTCGTGACTCACCCGTGGATGTCACCGCTGTTTCGTGCCTCTCTTCTGCCCACAAGGTTCACACAAACCTCTTGCAACTTAAAGATGAAAAAGGTCTCATGGGGGAGCCTTGGACTGCGTAGCTCCAGAACGAAGGGGTGAGAAATCACATATCCGATATTCTTCCCCAGCAGGCAAAAAAGCCATGACATTATGGCCTGCTCTGATGAGAGCCGCAGCGGATGCCGTGTATGGCCCTGTACACGGCAGCTGCAGAAGCACAGGTTGTTTAGGCGGACCCAGCTTTGCCCACAAGAATCCCGGTGGGCCGTGGCAATTGGTTTCCCACTCTTTGGGGCAGAGGGGCGACCCTGTACGACACGTGTGGAGTTGTCCTCTACAGTTTGCAAAAGAGGGAGACAGAGCAGCAGTCCCTTAAGCCGCCACCTGTGATGAGATGCGATGCACCGAGTTTGCATCAATGCATCTAAATTAGCATGTGGGAATTTTACACAAATGCACACACTTACTCATTCGTTCGTTTATTATTTGACTTGTATACTGCTATTAGTCATTAGGGTCTCTGAGGAGCTCCCAACGTGTGACACAACAGTTAAAACAATGCAATTCAGAGTACATTTAAAACAGTTTACAATAGAAAAACCAATGATAGAGAGAAAATCAAGAATCAGAGTAGACCTAAGATGGATCAATCAGTAAATTAAACTATTTAAAATCATCTTAATAAAGATAAAGTACATTTAAGCATGATTAAATAAAGTACAGATGATAGAATCTGGAGCTAAAGTCCTAATATGGCAGCAGAAATTAACAGCATCAACCCATTAAAAACCATTAAACCTAAAGGCTGGCCCACCAAAATGAGGGCAAAAGTGAAATGTTTTGAACTGGGGTCTAAAGAGAAGTGAGTTCCACAACTGGGGGGCCATTACGGAGAAGGCCCTTCTCTTTTATTTCATTGCGGGGAAATGACAGAGAAAGGCCTTAGAAGACAACCTCAGTGATCGGGTTCTGTATACTGTATGAAGACAGGCGTTCCTGTGATAGCCCCAGGCCATTTCGGGCTTTATATAACTAGCATGCACTCCTCGTTGTATCCTCATTTTCGCAGTGCCTAAAGGCCTTGCCGCTTTAGCCTTGTGTCCTGTAGCAAACCAACAGAAGACCGCTCCGTTTGAGATCATGGGTGGGAGCTCATGAGAAGGACCGGGGTTCCCTGTTGTGTACATGCCCGTGCCAAATCCATTTTATTCTACTTTATTACTTATGTAAAGCTTTTCTATACCATCCAACTACAGACTAAAGTAAAGTAAAGCCTAGCATCCCATTTATCCGACAAATAAAACCCTCATCAAAACCTAATCAACCTTAAAATAATGGGTGAATGGAAGGTTTTAGCCTGGTGCTGAGAGGAATACAGAGTCGGTGCCAGGCGGTCCTCTCTGGGCAGCGCATTGAGGCCCGATTCTGGGAGTTGTGGCGGGGAGAGAAGCTTCGTTGGGGGTCCTCAACCCGCAGCCCTGAGCTGCTGCCGTTACTCTGTTGGCACAGGAAAGGGCAGTGCCATTTTTGCTGCTGTGTTAGTGAGACATCCTTGGAATTAGGCTTTTCATCCGAAGAGCATCTTGCGAACTGCTGTGTGGTACAGTCCTCCCTGGGCTGTAGCATTCCAGGAGAGAGCTGTGTCGGTATTTAGAGGGGAAACGAGGCGAGGTGGGCATAGAGACTGGGCCTGCCTTTCTTCCTATAACACAGCCCCAGTGGAGGAAGGGGGATCGGAATTCACAGCTGAAAGGCCAACGCTGATGGACCCACAGATAAATCTCATCATGGCAGAGAACCAGCCAGTTTCAAGTTCTGTGGGAAATTCTAGTGAGTTTAGTGCATGATAGTCTGATAAGGGGAAGAGGGAAGCAACTTGAGGGACATTGCAGATGATCACCCAGTAAGTAGCACGGGATCTATCCTGAAGGTGGAACCAGATCTGGAAGCTGGAAGGGACGAAGGGCACTTCGTATGGAATCCACTTCATTTCATTAATGGCCGTTAATTCTAGCTTTGCTTGTGCCTCTTGTTATTACCTTCTGCAATCATCTTTGGTAAGACGAAGGTGGCCTGGCTGGTCAGCTTTAACATACTACAAACTTTTTGCTAGAACACCATTGTCTTGCTCTGCTTGGAAAGACAAAAGGAAGACCTGCTCAGGCCACTGGAAGACTCTGATTTTGGATTATGCGTGACACCACCTGAAAAACTCAGGTTTTTACGTTCCTAAATGGTACATTTCTGAATCTCCTCGGGAAGAAAACCAAACACCCTTGCCTTTTTTAGAAAACCATGTTCCATTTTGTCTTTTTCTGCTATTTATCTTCCTTTTCCTAATTGTGCATCAAGTAGTAGGTAGTTGCTAATTGCATTCCTAATGTAATAGCTTATTCTCATCAAACATTTTACTTTCTTGTATTCTTTCTTTTCTTTCTGACTTCTTTTCTTTCTTTCTTTCTTTCTTTTTTCCTTCCTTTTTTGGTATCATTATTTCCCTGCCTTTCTCTCCTCATTTCCCTTTGGAACTCTGACTTGCATAAGAAAGGAAATGTTACAATGTTCCACACAAAGATAATTATCTTTTTTAAAAAATCTTTTATCCAAACCACAGCCAAATGCAGCAGACCCCCCTTATCACTGCAGGAATTTCGAGCAGGGCTCTTGAATTCCTTTCAGATATGGTTCTGGTAGATTAGCATGTATGTAACGTAATTGTGTTCCCCTTGGTCTCTTTGAAAGCTGTTAAGGATCGGTGCATGTTTTGGCAAGGGAGGAGGTCTACTTCCAAGAAAAGGCGTATGCAGCACAAATTTGACAGAGAGGCCTGGCAGAGAAGAATTGTCGGGAGAGCTCCTCTCCGTGTTTTTAGGGTGTATCCCCCAGAATCCCCCTGGCACGGCAAACATCTCAAAACTAAAAGAGAAACTAAGGCTTAGCGGAACCAGAACTGCTCAAGGTGCAAGTGGGGATGCACCAAAGGAGAATGAGGAAAGCAGAAAAGATCCCCTGAAACCTGGACTAAGCTTTGGAGCGACTGCATTTTGGGGTTGCTTATGGATGTGGCTCTTTTTGCCACTTTGGACATGCTTTGGGGGATTCCAAGGTGTTTTTTCAGAAGATATAGAGGGCACGATAAAAGGCCTGGTTCCATGCATACAAGCGGGCAAAGCTTCCAGCCCCACATGGGGACTCCTCCTGCATGCAGTTTCTCTGCAAGAAAAATTACTGATAGGAACCCATCTGCCAGAATAAACCTAAATTCAGAGCATCTGAATTTCTCTCCAGGACATGTCCCTTCAGTCCAGGTATCTTGGATTTCCTGGCCCAATGTGCAGAAGCAAGGAACTTCACGAAACCATTCTAAAATCCTAGGGACACAAATGGTAGTTTGGTCATTGTGCTTCCCTTCGTTTGGGGAAGGGGGAGAATTTGAAAGGAATTCTTTTTCAAACCCAATGTCAGGATATGAAAAAGCAGTTCGTTTGGGAAAAGAAGGAAAGGGGAAGAAGCCTGGGGAATGCAAAGAGAGTCTTCCAGATAAATTTAGTAAGGACACTCTAACTTACAGAGTAGCTTACTTGAGCAGTCATGGATTCCAGAACATATGCAGAGTTCATTGCAGAGAATAGCCTGAGAGAGCATCTAGACTTCCAAGCACTTGAAAGCTCAAGAGGGAGCAAATTCTAGCATTTATGGGAACCTGCAAGCCATAAAAGCTATGGATTGCTACCCTGTGTGATTAAGCAACAGCTTGTTCAACCCATGGCTCTCTCCCTTCCCCCAAGCTCTACCACAGACCTGGAGGTTCTCAGAGGGTTGGGAGATGGCAGAGAAAGAAACTGCAGCTTTTCTATCTGTGCGCCAGTTCCAACGGGCTGGCTCCAATGCAGGGAATCCATGCACCCGCGTTTCCAACCAACGCAGCCAGCGACCCAATGGTGACGTGCTTGTTGTTTGCCTTGCAAACTGTGGCATGGGGTCATCTGCCCCCTGCCTGATTACACACCTTCTGCCTTTCTGAGGATACTGTAGAAGAACATCAAAAGTAGGATGTGCCACAATCCAACTGAACTCAGCCTTACTTGCAAAGGTTTGCACGTTTGTCCTCCGATTCCCCCTCTTCCTTTTAACGCCTCTTTAAAAACATGGGAATCTTGGGCTGTGCTTTTCCTTAAGATGTCTTTGGGTTCTGCAAGGCATCTTATTTTGCCCCAAAGCCGACCCAGTGCAGCCCGTTTCTGTGTGAAAGAATCAGTGACCTGGTTCACACAACCAACAATCCACTAGGGGTTCTTCCATCCTCCAAAAACCAGCATAACTTGCCCAGGGTAGCTTAATTTTCACCCTGACTGCCCATGGCTTGTTCCAGGGGTTATAGTACCCACAATGGGTTCTCACGTTGTCTGAACCTGAGAAACCCATTTCATGGTGGCTTGCTGAAAAGTGCCACCAAGTCTTTGGACAAGGGCGGCTACAGACGCCGCAGCTCCCAGGTGATCTTGCTTCCTTCCCAAAGTCTTGCTAGCAACATCTTGTGCCGTAACAACCTACCCCCCCCCCATTCCTTGGCAGGCTCCTCTCCCACTTCCAGTAACTTAGGCAGGCCTCGTGGGGCACAATCCCCTAACACGGTGCCATGCATCACATTCAGGCAACAGTCGGGTACCGATCCTAACACCACCCGCAGAGTCCGGGGAGCCAGGAGCAGGATGTGCCTCCAATACCACATCCCTCGTCCTGATCCAACCTACCTCGCTCTGCCAGGGGTGCTTTTAGGGAGAGCTGCTGCGAGCAGAACCCCGTGTCCTTGTGCGGCAGGTCTTGCAGTGCAACACAAGGGCACCAGATGGGGTGGCCTGGGATTGTTCTCTCCCATTCCTAAAGCCGGGGATGCTGAAGTGGCAGGGGAAGCTTTGAGCTCAGGATCAGCCATCGGGGCCGGTGTGCACGGTACTTGTGGGGGCAGAGATGCCACCTGTTGTGGCAAGACTGGGGTCCTGCAGAGGACTTGAATCACAGTCCTCACTCATTCTCAAGACCGTTCCTTCCTGTTTCTGCAACCTCTCTGCCTCTCTGCACCCCGTCCCTTCCCCGGGTCATCTGCATTTTGGACAAAACAGTGGTCTGAGGTTTTGAGAAACCCCTTCATGTACCCATAGCAACACAACACCAAAGCTGGTCTGTGAAGCAAGACCTCTTGCTGCAGCCCACAAATTGGAAAACGGGGGTTTGGGGGCATGGTAGACTTCCAAGTTCCCCACCACCCAACAATAGGACTGGATTCCCCCACCTACTCCACCCATGAAGGGCCAATCTGAGCGACTCCGTCTGAAGTGCTGATTCCCCACAGCTCTTCCTCAGCCTCCTCCAAAGGAGCAAAGGCAGGAGGGGAAGGGAGCCAAGCATGTCGATCTGGCTGGGGTAGGGGCCTGCCCCTTTGCACTGCACCAAAGACACAAACTACCACCAGGGGGCGGAGAGCAGAAAGGGGGGCTGTGGAGTTAGGCCAGGAGCTGCTTTGGAGAGGAGAGGGGAAGAGGGAGGCGAGAGAACCGAAGCAAGCCCCTGGTGATGCAAGGAAGCCAGGAGACATGGGAAGTGGCTCCTGCCGCAGAGGCACCTGGGATACGGGCTGGAGCAACTGGAGGAATGGAGGGGCGCACTGCGAGTTGTTCCATGCACAACCCACACGGCGCGGCTTATGCAGTGTGGCTTTGCATGACGCCTGCAACCGAACCCCCTCCGTTGTCGTTTTGCATGTGTGCTCCGCTTGTGTGCACACCTTCATCAACAGGAAAAGACAACGGCTTTAAAGGAGCAATAAGACGGCTAGAAAAAAATAAGTATTTTGACGACAAAGAAAAAAGCTTCTGATATCAGAAGGGAGGGATGCTGGGGAGCTGGCTATCGTAATAGAAAAACGCCAAGAGTGGGAATTGAAAAGCTTCTGTTTCCAGCAGACTGCTGAGAAGACTAAATTCTGCTACATCCCGCCGATTTTCTCCTGGAAAATGTACAGCACTGGGTTGATTGTTTGGCTTGGCACCGCAGTCAGGATGCTGTCTTGTAAACTCCATTATGGCCGCCCTCCTTTTAATTTGTTTGACCTTGACTACAGTAATTTATTATGTGCAAAAGACAGTTCCCCACCACCACACGCATCTCTGCGCACACTTTTCTGTACAACCAAAAATGCGTCGTCTTTCTCTGGACTGCACTGGACTCTGAGCTGGAATTCCCTTTGGCTTCACTCATTAGCAATCTGCACTGCATCCAAAGTGAGGACAGCTCCTGTGAAAGCATACTTGAGCCTCCGCAAAACTCGAGGTTTTCCTTGGCACTGGCCTCGGCAAGCCATTAGCTTTGCTTCTTTCTGCATTCTTTGCTTCTGTCTCTGTCTTTCCTCCCTTCACCTTTTGCCATGAAAACTTCTTCAATAAGTCTGCCTTAAGTTTAAACTCTCGGGGCCAAGGCAAATAGCGATGAATTGGTCTATTTTGGGTCTGAATCAGTTCTGCATGTTCCGTCATAAGTCTGTTTCATCCAATTTCCACCTAGATTATACACAGAGAGAGAAAATGTGTTACAGTTTACATTTGTATATACAATTTCCCCTGATGTGTGTTTTGCATGTGACTATCCCAAAATGCACATTTTGCATGGTACTTCGATAGATCTTTTTGTACGCAGTGTCTATGCAGAGAACTACACTACATGAACACATAACGCCAGTCCTTTACCACCTACACTGGCCACCAGTTGAAGTCTGGGTCCAATTTAAGGTGCTGGTGATGACAGCAGCTTAGGGCCTGGTTACCTGAAGGAGCGTCTCCTTCCATACGTGCCCGCCTGCCCCTTAAGATCTGGGGCAGAGGCCCTTCTCTGGGCCTCCCTGAAGGAGATCAGGAGGGTAACTACCCAGAGAAGAGCCTTCTCTGTGGTGGCCCCCCGATTGTGGAATTCGCTCCCCAGAGGGGTTCGCCTGGCACCGACACTTTATTCTTTTCAGCACCAAAATTAAAACCTTTTTATTTTCCCAATGTTTTAAGGCTTGACTGTTTTTAATACGGGTGTTATTGTCGATTTGTTAAGAATCTGATTAGGATACTGTGCTTCATTTTATTTTGTCTTATTGTTAAACCATTCCAAGACTACAGTAAGGGACAGTCTAAAAAAGCTTTAAATAAAGAAATTACCAAATTTAGCAACATATGCCACATTGATGTTTATTTGTACCCCCTTTCCCCTTCGAAATGAACCCAGAACTGCAACATCCTAGAGGAAACCAGTGCAATGCTGGCAAATAGCAAAGGGCAATGCGAAATTTTTACAAAATTGAACGCGCACAGTGCCATAAGCTTATGTGCCAAGTTTCAGTTCGAGCCGGTTCACCTCCTCCAGCACAGCCCATGGTGACGACCCCTTTCCTCCGTTCTTTCGTAGACGCGCACACGTTCCGCTGCGAGGTCTGCGACGAGCTCTTCCAGTCGAAGGTGGACATGAGGCAGCACAAGAGGTACTCCTGCAGTGCCGTCAGCTCCCTTTACGAGACCCTGAATGAGGAGATCAAGCAGGAGGGCGCCGTGGACGGCCAAGTGCACGAATGCAAGGATTGCGAGAGGATCTTCCCAAACAAATACAGGTAACGCGGCCGGAATCTGGGTCTTGTTTGTCATGGCTGAAGGACGCAGAGGGCGCCTTTGGAAGGCAAAGCTTTCTCCGGGCGGCTTGCGCGTGAATATCCGCAAACAAATACATTTGTGTCTCTGACTGTGGGAGAGAGATAAACACACCTAAACACAGGCAGCCACGTCAAGGACACTCATGAAAAGCATATAACCCTTGCGTGCACGTGCACACAGAGAGAGAGAGAGAGGGCGCACATATACAAAATTCAGCTCATCCTTTCCATAAAAAGGGAATGAACATGAAAATGGTCTTCAAAGCTCACTTCAAAGCACTCATTTTGTTTCATTTCATCTACTACTTTGCAAGCTGCCCCATGGCCTACGGGGCTCTCTGGGTGGCTTACAATAGGATAAAAAATACGTATTCCATACAAATACAATAATACACTGGAACAGCACAAGATTTAACTGTAAGCAATACAAAATCAAAACAGCTTAATACAAGAATATAAGACACGATACAATACAGAAGATCAATACATGATGCAATACAGAAGATCAATATGTGATGCAATACAGAAGATCAATAGTAACAAGATATAGCTGCATCAGGTATAGCTACAGACAAAACTCAATTACCCATCGGTTCAGTTAAAACCCAATTACCCATCGGTTCAGCCACACAGTACCCTGTTGGTTTCACCCAAGGAAGGAATCAAGAGTCTTCTCCAAGAGGGAGTTCCATAGATTTCGGGTCCTAAATAAAGAATCCCAGTTCTCATTTCCATTGCACTACTTGACGCTCAAGGGTGGCCTAGAAGCAGGCCATCCGGGGCTGATCTCTAGGCGCGGGTTTGTTCCTTTGGATGTAGGCAGCCGATTCATGAAGGGAATGAAACTGGGTTATTTTCATTTAGTCCAGAAGAGACTCCACCATCACCCTGAATGACACTCTGAGCATTTCTCCCTCACGTACATGGAAGCCACTGTGTTTCCCCCAGTGCTTTGTCATCTTAAGGATGAAAGAGTATCCATGTCCTGGATGTGGGACGTCTGGTGGAAAAATGGTGACTTCTCTCTTCCTACCACACTTTCCATAAGGAGAACAAAGCGCTCTTTCTAAATGTAGAACACACATGCCTTGTAGATCTCCGTGATCAATGTGATTGCTCTTTAGATGTACAGACATTGCTCTGTGGGAACAGTTCCCTTTTATTCCAGCGGCCATATAACACTCAGATGCCACAGCCCATGGACAGGAGACATTAAATCTTGGCCCACAGATGGAACGTTTCCTTCGGCTGCATGGCGGCAGGTACTCACCGTGACTGCAGTTAAGGAAAGGGGGAAGAGAATGGAAGACGGAAATTTTAAATTAATTAAGTGTTTGGTTACATTATGCTCTTTCAAGAAAGTCAGGAATTGAGTAGAACAGCAAAAGGGATGCAAAAAACGTGTGCAATTCCATACATTTCCTTTCCTCCCTTCCTTTTAAACTGCATCTAATCTACCCAGGAGAAGTCCTGGGTCTTGGTCCCATTTTCCCCATTATTTTAAGACCTAAATTTTATTTTAGTTGGGTTTTTATTCTAGTTATGCTGGTGTGCCTTTATTGTTGGACCCTCCTGAAACTTGTGTGTATAGGAAGGGATACAAAAGTTTTAAATAAGTAAAATAAAAAAACTTTCTGTGGCAAACTGCCCTGAGAACCTAGCCTTAAAAGCAGGAAGAGGCAATCACTACTTTTATGCTGTATATTTTAATTTGGGAGATAGGATAAGAACATAAAAACAGTTGAGGCCCCATCGGTGCGGGTGTTCAAGGATAGGCTGGACGTGCACATGGTGGGCATGTCGTGAGCAGAGCCGGCCGGTGCCGGAGGTCAGACTAGATGGCCCGGGGGGTCCCTTCTCCTGTTTCTATGTTTCTATGTCCTGCTGGGTCAGACCAAAGGGCCACCTAGTCCAGCACTCCGTACGCACGGGGGCAAACCATCTGCCCACAGGACCCCTCCCGCAGGACGGGTGCAAGGCCTCCTCCTGCCCAGCCCCTTGGCAGCCGGTGTGTGCAGGCGGGCCGCTGCTGGGGAAGGAGGAAGCCCATGGCCAGCAAGGCTGGTAGCCACGGGTGGCCTCCTCCCCTGTGGATCTGTCCGATCCTTTTTCAGATCCTCCAGGTGGGTGGTCATCACCAATTCCCATGGCAGCAAATGGACCAACATGGCCTACCACGGACCCCCACCATCCATGGAATGCGCTCCCCAGAGAGGTCCACCTGGCGCCGTCGTTATTTGTTTTTCAGCGCTAGGTTAAGACCTTTTTATTCCAACAGTATTTTGATAAGTTTTAATATTGCTTTTCCTATGTTTTGAATTGCAGCCAGTGTGGGTCGGGAATTTTATTTATGCTATTACATTGTAAGCCATCCTGAGGCTTTTTTGTGATTAGGACAGCATATAAATATTTTAAATAAGTAAATATATGTCTACAAGATGATCTAGATGGGTGTGGATTCCCGTGCAGGAAACTACTGGGAGGAGTCTCCAGTCAAAAGAGCGTATGAAATGACTAAAGGAACATGTGCAGCTGCGATGGGCTAGAACTGTATGTACACATATACTGAAAAACTAGAGTTTCTAAGAAGACGTGCTTTTTCAAGAGCATTTAAATGATAACCTATTGTAAAAGAAAAACAATACAGGGACAAAAATAAGAGCTACAAAAGGCTATTGTGTTAAGGAACACCGGTGTTGTGTGGGGAGAGAAAGGGGAAAAAGTTCACCTCCAAGGTTGCGGTATTTATTCAGCATAGCCAGGGAAATAGCATGTTGAAAAGAGGGACAGAAAGGGAGAATTGGAGCCCGTGGAAACAGAGCATGTGTGTTGCCTGGCAGGGATGGGAATAGAAAGCCAGGAAGTGCTCCTTCCTTTCAACTCTGTATTTTTCACCGGCTGAGTCCTCTTCTCACCTGGGTTCAGATACGAGGACAAGCAAAGATGGTTGCAAGCAACCCTGCAAGAAATCCTCATCCTGGTTTTTGTGCACAAAGCAACCAGATGTCGGTAACCACAACAGAGTTTGTGTGAATGAACAACTGCACCGCAATCCCTGTCAATGGTTGCTCGCTGTGATGTGCAAACCCAGCCAGAGATTCTCGTGCCTTCGAAACGGACAGCGAAACCCAACTGGCGCTTAGCGGAGCTGCCAATCAACCAATGCTCTTCTTTCCAACAGTTTGGAGCAGCACATGATCATCCACACTGAAGAAAGGGAATACAAATGTGACCAGTGCCCCAAGGCCTTCAACTGGAAATCAAACCTGATTCGTCACCAGATGTCTCACGACAGTGGCAAGCGATTTGAATGTGAAAACTGTGTGAAGGTACGTCCATGGGGGCTCCTGGGCAGCGCGAGAGCGGATGAGTCCGAAGCAAGACCTGTGGGGAAACTTTCCCTGGGTGAAATTATACCCAAGGGATGGTGGAGGACAGGAGAGCCTGGAGGAATGTTGTCCATGGGGTCATGTTGGGTTGCGCATGACTTCGCGACTAGACAAGCTTTGCAAAAGCATTGTACATGCGTGAAAGAAGAGCGGGATGAAAAGTTTGGGAATTCAGCAGCTTATAATGTGCTTGAAAAAATACAAGGGCTAGGAATATATCTATATCTATCTAATCTATATCTATATATCTAGATGGATGGATGGATGGATGGATGGATGGATGGATGGATGGATGGATATTCAAGGCTCACATCCTCTTCAGGGAACCTCTGGGGATTTCCATGTTCACTGTGAGCAGCCAACTGAGGGAGCCTGACTCCTTCCTTTGCCCAGGACACCCACAAAGCTTATCTCAGAATCTTTCTTGGAGCTGCAGCCACCCCAACAGTGAGAGCAAGGGAAGGACGCCCCAATTTCAGAGCCCCAGTTCCAACTGTGGAGCAAGTTTCCAGAGTTGGAACTGGGATTCCAAATTATCCCACGGCCACGTCTATGCTCTGTCCAGCAACCATGGGATTGCACTGCAAGAAGCACTGGAATGTATTGCAAATTCCCTTTTTTCCCAAGCATATTTATAACATGAGCTTGAAATCAAAACCGTGTATCTGAAAGATGAGCCAATGTGGAAGTGTCGCCAAATCTCAAATGTTTACAATGAAAAGGAGCAGAAAAAGACTATTTCTGGGAAATAGTCCCAGGAACACGTTTCTAGGTGCAATAATGGGAGTTGTAGTCAAATAGATCAGGAGGGCGTTGGGCTGGGAAAGGCTGCTTCAGCGCACTAGCTCCATGTTCGCCCTTCTAAGAGTTGACCCGGTTATTTCCCTCCTCCTCCCAGGTGTTTACTGATCCCAGCAACCTCCAGCGGCACATCCGGTCTCAGCACGTCGGCGCACGAGCACACGCCTGCCCGGACTGCGGGAAAACCTTTGCCACTTCGTCTGGCCTAAAGCAGCACAAACACATCCACAGCACTGTCAAACCTTTCATATGTAAGTTGTCCTGGTCATCTCCAAGAGCTCGCTGGGCCCCGTTCTTGCACATGCATTCCTGCTCCAGTGTCCCCAAGACACAGGACAGTGTCTTCAAAAATACGAACATCCAGTCCAGAGAGTAGAATCCACTGGGTCAAGCATCCAGGCAGGCACTTGTGTCCAAGAAAGAAGTCTGGGGATATAGGCAAAGATCCAAGACTGTCCAGTCTGAAAGCTCAAGGCACGCACTGTGCTGAAACTCTGTTGTCTGCAGCAGCCGGCAGCCGGGCTAATTCCTAGCTGGCTGTAAATCAGTACAGCAGGCTATGGAGGTCAGCATGTGGCTTATCGGGAAGGCTCCACATTCTGTCTTCTTTTAGACGTCTAAAGCATCCCCAAATTTCAGCTTCTTACCTTACCCATTTTTTTTCTAATGAAAAGTTACTCTAGAAACTCCACAGGGGTAACTAGGCAGAGTGACTTTGTCCCCACAAATCTCCCGCCGGCAAAGGCACAAAACGATGTTCAATGCAGATCTTCCTAGTCTCCTTTTAAGAGACCCTTAGCTGAAACCTCCAGCAAACAGAATGGAAATTCATTGAGGGAAAACTGTGCTATGTGGGGGGTTTTTTTAGTTAGTAGGCAAAACCATTGTCATGCAGGGAAAAGTCAAGGAACCTGCCTTTGTTATGCAGATTTCCTCCATCTGCATAGCCTCAAGAAAAATTAAAACATAAATTACTTGTTTTTGCTGATAGCGGAAAGCCATTCTGATGCTGATGGCAAGCTCCTGAGGAAAGATTCCGGCCTGAACAACGATTCTTAGCATTTTGCATTTTTACAGCCTAGATACTTTCTCCTGGGGTTATATAGGCACCCCAAAAGTGACATCCTTTGGGGTTTTTTTTATACAAGGTGAGGAGCGGGATGGGTCAAATTCATGGAGGATAAGGCTGCTCACGGCCACCAAGGATGGTCATATCCTATCTCAGGATCAGATCAGGATATGCAATCTCCCAATATCCCCACAGGAAATAGCTATCACCCTCATCTTCTGCCTGTGGGTTTCTATAGGCACCTGACTGGCCACTATAGCAAACAGGATGCTGAAGAAGATGAGTATTTAGTCTCACCAGTAAAACTCTCCTGCAGTCTTTACCGTGGAAGACAGCAGATTGAGACAAAACAGTGTAAGACCCTTTCATGCAATGGCATTGTCTCAGATCCATCCCTTTCCCTTTGGATCAAAGTACTCCATGCTTACGCTTTGGCCCAAGGCTTCGCCCAAGTGAGCATTTGGCGGTGGCGGCAGCAGTTTCTGATGTATGGTAAACATCACAGCTGAACTACTTTGGAATTAATTTTTAATACCATCCCTATTTTTTTAGCCAAAAAAAGATCATTTTCTTAAAAACAAAACAAAGCAAAACAAAAGCAGCTCAGTTGCCTGAGGTCAATCCAGTTCTTTCATATTAATTTCATACTGGGTTGTGGTGCTTTGGTTTCTGTTGATGCTTTAGGTGAGGTCTGCCACAAGTCCTACACACAGTTCTCCAACCTCTGCCGACACAAGCGGATGCACGCCGACTGCCGGACCCAGATCAAATGCAAGGACTGTGGCCAGATGTTCAGCACCACCTCATCGCTCAACAAGCACCGGCGCTTCTGTGAGGGCAAGAACCATTACAACCCTGGGGGCATTTTTGGACCAGGCTTGCCTCTGACCCCCAGCTCCGTGATGGACAAGTCCAAGCCCTCCCCCACGCTCAATCACACCAGCCTCGGGTTTAACGATTACTTTCCTTCCCGCCCACACCCTGGAGGACTCTCATTTTCTCCTGCTCCCCCGGCATTCCCCACACTCGCCCCTGGGTTCCCAGGAATCTTCCCTCCCTCACTATACCCCAGGCCCCCTTTATTGCCTCCCACACCGCTGCTCAAGACCCCAATCAACCATGCACAAGATGCCAAGCTCCCCAGTCCGCTGGGCAACTCGGCTCTCCCGCTGATTTCTTCCGTGAGCAACTCCAGCCACCCTGCCTCAGGGGAGGAGAGATTCAACAGCAGCAACCTGGGGAACTCATACCTGGAGAAGCTCAAGGCCAGGACCAGCGACGTGTCTGACGTGAGTGACTTCGAGGATGTCAACACAACCACGGGAACCGATCTGGACACCACCACCGGGACGGGGTCCGACTTGGAGAGTGATGCAGAGAGCGACCGGGACAAGATGAAGGAGAAGAGCAAGCAGGCCGAGAGCAAGCAAGAGTTCAGCGGCAACGCGGTGTCCACGAGTTCCGCCAATAGCACGAGCGATCTCCCTCTTTTCTACTCCCAGCATTCCTTCTTCCCTCCCCCAGAGGAGCACCTGCTTCCCATGGCAGGAGCGGCCAATGACTCCATAAAGGCTATTGCCTCCATTGCAGAGAAGTACTTTGGGCCGGGCTTCATGGGGATGCAGGAGAAGAAAATGGGCTCTCTCCCTTATCATTCCATGTTTCCATTCCAGTTCCTCCCCAACTTCCCCCATTCGCTGTATCCTTTTACAGACCGGACCCTCAACCACAGCTTGCTGGTCAAGGCTGAACCAAAGTCGCCCAGGGACTTTCACAAAATGGGAGGCACCAGCTCCGAGTCACCCTTTGACCTTACCACAAAACCAAAAGAAATTAAGCCCAGCTTGCTGCCCCCCAAAGTCTTGCCAGCTCACCTTTCTGGAGAGGAACAGCCACTGGATCTGAGCATCGGCAACCGCATCCGGGCCAGTCAGAATGGGAGCCGGGACTCCCGGAAGAACCACGTGTATGGTGAAAGGAAGCTCATGGCCAGTGACATCTTACCCAAGATTTCTCAGGCTCAGATGCCGCCACAGCCATCGTTGCATTATGCTAAGCCATCTCCTTTTTTCATGGACCCCATATACAGGTATTAACATACCCTGCCTTATCAATGAGCCAATAAGCTGCCCACACTCACCTCTGGTAAGCCATCCCTGCTGTGTGTGCTTGCATATTTACTGCATGGAGTCCTGGGCCTCTGTTCCAAAGTTCTGTCCGATGGCAGAACAGCAGAGGACCATGGCGGCCTGCAGTGACCGTGATCGGCAATGCTCCTGAGATATCTCAGCCCTAAGTAACGATCACCCAGTTCAGCCCATGTGTTCTGGAAGGACTGGGGGCCAATGAACATTTGGGGCGCATTCATGGGTCTCATGCCCAACAGTGTGGTACAAATACACATGTCAAGTTGCAACATCCATCTTCTCCAACCCTGTGACCTTTAGATAAGTGGTACAACTACTCCCAACTTGCTGGGGAAGGAGGGGAGGTTGCAGGCCAACACTTTTGGATGGTGCCTGGTGGCAGATGGCTGCTTGGTGTCATGTCATCCAGCCTAAAGCAGCTGCTAGAATCAGGATCCTTCCATTGTTCTTCCCTCCTTGGGACAATGTGGTCACGAGAGTCATGCGCCAGACAGGCCGCCATAGCGTGCCACTTGTCCCAAACAGGACAGATCTGCTTTAGATGGGATACTGATCTGGGGGCAGAGGACAGCTTGCTGTGGTAGGAGCCTCCTGCCGCGTGACTCGGTGAGGACACTAAAACAGCATGTGGGGACCCGAAGCTCTGTTTGGCGGTTCAACCTCTCCCAGTTCCCCTCACATGAAGGAGAAAACAGGATTGTGCTCACTGGCTCCACCACTGCTGTCCTGTCCCTGTCGATGCATTTGCCTTCACTCTCCAGAAGGTGGAAGCTGGCTGGACCACCAGGCCTATCCATGGTCGAAGAGCAGGTGAAGGGAGACCAGAGTCCAGCCAGCTTCCGGCCTTTTCATCAGGATTGCAAGGGTCTGAAGGCAAATGTCTCACATCTTCAGCTGGACATGGGGCAGATGGGAAGTCCTAATTGCACCTCAAGTCTCTCCACAATCCGTGTGTCACGGTGAAGAGTGGAGGAGGCTGGGCTTGGAGATACCTGGGACAGGAATCACACACGCGGTGCCTCTAGCTGTGAAGGGGGATGAGCCACGGAGGGCGAGGCTCTTGGAGTCCTACGGTCCTGATTAGGAGCACTGGAGGAATCTGCGTTGGGTGGAAAATCAGCTGGGTCCCTGGTTTCGGCTTCCTGGATTTTGCGGTGGCCCAGGGCCCATATTCCTGGCGAGTGTGCCCAGGGCTCAAGGGGCACTCCCCAGGTGTCAAGCCACATGCGCTGCGCAACAGCTCCCATGCTCACCGCTGTCGTCAGCAGTGGCAAGCAGGGAAGAAGGCTGGCCAGTGGAAGTGGTGGCTGGGGAAGGTTTCCAGAGGTGCTACCAGGGGTCTGCAACCACCTGCAGATTTCTTCTGGGCTTGACCCAATTCCTTGGGGAGGGGCAGAAGAAGTCCAACAGGCAGGCACAAACCAGATTCTGAAGAGGCTTGGCACATTCCTAGACATGATGGCTCCTCGCTATCTTGAAGTACCTGTAGATATCAATTGCTGGGACCAGAAGAGTGGGAAAGAGCTATTTGGCTGATGTCCTTCATGTGGACTTCCCATTGGAGCACCTGCTTGGCCACTGCAGGGAATGGATGCCGGGCCTGATAGGTCCTTTGTCAGATCCCTCCGATCTCTCAACATTTTTTAAAGATCTTAAGTATAGGTGGTTGTGTATTTCCTTGGTTTTGAGGGAAGGGACACCCACAGGCTGCATGCATGGTAGGTCAGTGTGGGAAAGCTCAACACCAAAACAGAAGCAAGGCAAGGAACCAACTGCTTGGATTAAAGCCTCTTGGCTCTGCTGAGAGAGAGAGAGAGAGTGGAAGGGAGAGAAGAAAATTCTGCAGGAACTTTCCCAGGATTGCTTTTGGTACCCCGTTATGTGGTCTCGCCTGTGTGTTTCTGCTATGAGATGCTGAGAACGTTGTCCAAACCATTCCATTTCCTTCTGGTTTCCCCTTTATTTGTGCACACGGTGGGCATGTTGTGAGCGGAGCCAGCTGAAGCCGGGGGTCAGACTAGATGGCCCGGGAGGCCCCTTCTGACTCTCTATGTTTCTCTGTTTCTCTAGAAATGCATTAAAGCAGGAATGGGAACTGTGGGGTCCTCTAGTTGTCACTGGACAACATCTCCCATCATTCCTGACCATTAGCCTTGTTGGCTGTGTCAGATGGGAGCTGAACTCCAAGAACATCCAGAGGAAGATGGGGTTCCCACTCTCATGTCCCAGCTTCAAGTAAATGCTTGAGCAATTTTAGCTTTCTTCCTTGGAAAATAAAGAAGTTGTGGCAGAGATGTTCTGGCCTCTCTGCCTACAGGCTGGAACCCACACTTGAATCACAAAGGTTAGAGAAGGCTTTTCTAGTCAGAATAGAAGATGTTGGTAAACGGCAACAGGCCATAAGAATAGAAATGGGATGGCAGGCACTGCCATACTTTTTCAACCCAACTGATGCTGCATTGAGTTAACGCAGCAGTCTTCCTAGATGGAGACTGGTGGGCCCCGAGGCTGAAATGCTGAAATGCATCCTCACTGCCAAGCAGGATTGCTCCTCTGCTGAGTTCCAGCCAACTATTCCCTCCTAGCAGGGTCCTTTACTCTCTTTTTCTGGTTAGTTTTCCCAGCTGCCACGCACCATTCTGTGGCTACTGAGCACCCACGAGGCCCTGCGTGGCCACATCTTGACACACACCACCCTCCCAAACAATGGCCACTGACCAGCAAGGCATGTCAACATCCCAGTGGGTTTCACGTGTAGCACCCCAGCTTTTCTACCATGTAAATCAATATCCTAAAACACAGGAAAGAGAGGTCCATTTCATTTAACCCCTGCAGATAGAAAAGCACCTTCTGCATGGTATTTGAAATGGCCTTCAAGCATCAGTCCATGCAATGGGCAGCGGCTCTTCTGATATCAAGTGCAGGCTTTCCCAGCCCTGCTCTCTGAGAACGTGTGTTCTACCAAAGAGTTAAGACTCTCCTGAAACTCAATCCCCCCCCCTCTCTTTCTTGGGCTCTATGATATTTTCCTGCCTGCAGCCTTCAACAATACTTGCACAATATTAATAGTCCATCAGAGAAGCTGCTGAAGATTAGCAGAAAATTCAGCTCCCATTTTCCAATCCCTTAGAAAACTTCCTCCACTTTTAAAAAAACAAACAAACTACGTATATGCCCCAAAAGCAGCTTGTGCAAGTTCTTCTGTCTTTTGAGGCCCCCAAAAGGTATGTAACCCTCTGTGCTGCTGTCCAGCAGGGTGGAGAAGCGGAAGGTGGTGGACTCAGTGGGAGCGCTGAAGGAGAAGTACCTGAGACCTTCACCGCTGCTTTTTCATCCCCAGGTAAGACCAAGGAAGACCACATTTTGGATCTTCTGATCGCTTTCTCAGTGTTCTGTCCTGACCTTGAGAAGGAGCATGTAGGGAACACCAGATCCCAGGGATGGTGTGGTCTAGGAGGTAGGCAGAGGAGGCCAGAGTTACAGGACATTGGAGGTCCCCGTTGTTGGATGGAGGCAGTGGCATTGAAGCCTGGCATCAGTGCTTGGTTGGCCTGGTCATGCTGGGGACCATTGCGGCTGACAATGATCCTGCTCCAGCCTTCCTCCTTATAGTTAGGGGACAGACAGCCAGGTGCCTGCAAGGTTACAAGTGCTCATCTTGGTGGTTCCACCCAAGTATGTGTGTTTAGCATCAGGACAGCTGAAGCAAACTCCATTTTATTTCTGAATTCATTATGGATCTGTGATTTCAGTGTGTTTAGTACATGAAGTTGCCCTGGCTTATGATATTTGTTATTTTCTGATAGGCAGGACCAGAGAAACATTCTTTTGTTTGACTCTGATGTATCAAGAATGTAGAAGCAATTCTCAATGATGGGATGGTGTTGGGAAGAGGAGAGAAATGTTAGTTCCATGCTTCACAACTGAAGGATTTGCTACTTAAATATGGATCCCCATTAAGACTACAAAGTCCTGGTTCTGAAACTACCAAGATATACCACTGGAATAGCACAGCATTCGGATTATATAGGAATACTGGGGATGGGGAGAGGGGTCCCACCCCCTTACCTGCTGAGCTGAGGGGTCCCACCCTACCTTCTCTGGTGGCTTCCAACGTGGGGAATCCTAATTGCAGTGAGTCAGATATGGAGTGCTAAGTGGGACCATGGTCCATCCTGCTCCATCTTGTCTACCTTAGCTGGTGGCAAAGCATTGTAGAATCTTATCCCATCAACCATTCCAAATGGAGATGGAGACTGAATTTTGGCCTTCTCCTGCAAAGCATGTGTTCTGTCAGGAAACATAAGTAGCTCTTCCCATGGAGCACATCAACTTCCTGAGATAGAGAAGTTCTGGAGATGCCAAGACAGCTCCCACAGAGCCTTCCTCTGGAGATGCCAGAGCTTGGACGTGCATTGAGAGCATGGTGGCCTCGTAAAAACAGCTCAAGAAAAACAGTGAAATCCTATGCATGTTTTCCTGGAAATTATCCCCACTGAATACAAAGTGGCAGCACCCCACTGCAATGCTGCTTATAGGTCAGGAGACCTTGTCTACTCTAAACTGTTGATATCCATTTCCACCTCCCTTCGGCCAGAAACAGCGGAGCTTCTGGTTTCATTGACAGGGCTCAGTGTGCAGTGTTTCCTTGCTAAGCCCTTTCCCACCTCAGTGAAAACATGGACATCTTTGTGAAAGGCCGATGCTTTCACAGCTAAACTTAGTTGCTTCATTGTTTTGTCTCAGCCTGAGAGTTTGGTTAATAACTTCCTTTGATTTTCCTTTTGAACGGGCCCTACAATGGTGACAAGCCAGCCAGAAACATCCGGTATTTGTGTAGGTCAGAACAGAGGGCAGAACTGCCTTGAAAGAATCTGATAGTTATCCCCAGTATGTCTGGTGAGAAAGATACTCAGACTCGAACCGAAAGCACAGCCGGGAAACTCAGAAGGATAAAAACCAAGCTAATGAAATTGAGTCCTGGGGAAAAATTCGTAAATTTCTTTCTATTATTTCTATTTCTATTATTTCTGATTCTGTTTCCATTACTACTTCTATTACTATATCTATATACTAGCAGTGATCTCAGTTCTCTTGGTTCCAATCCTTATGTAACCCAAACAAGAAGGAAATCTGTGCACACCTGCAGAAACACCAAGATTGTGGAGAAGTGCAAAACAGTATAGCAAGGGTCTTGGTCCATCTCACTCCATTTTGTCTTTCTCGGACCATCTTTCTTGGCCCATCTCACTCCATTTTGTCTTTCTCAGACCACCTTTCTTGGTCCATCTCCGTTTTGTCTTTCTCGGACCATCTTTCTTGGTCCATCTCACTCCATTTTGTCTTTCTCGGACCATCTTTCTTGGTCCATCTCACTCCATTTTGTCTTTCTCGGACCATCTTTCTTGGTCCATCTCCGTTTTGTCTTTCTCGGACCATCTTTCTCGGACCATCTTTCTTGGTCCATCTCACTCCATTTTGTCTTTCTCGGGCCATCTTTCCTGGTCCATCTCATTCCATTTTGTCTTTCTCGGACCATCTTTCTTGGACCATCTTTCCTGGTCCATCTCACTCCATTTTGTCTTTCTCGGACCATCTTTCTTGGACCATCTTCCTTGGTCCATCTCACTCCATTTTGTCTGCTCCAATGATCAGCAGCTCTCCTGGGTTTTAGGTGGGAATCATTTACAACCTAACCTGGAATTATGAGAACTTCAACCTTCCTCATGCCACTGAACCATGCCCCTTTGCTAAACACAGAGCAAAGGATGCCCTGTGTCAGGTTATGATCCATGGAAGCTTCCACCCATTTCCAGAAGAACATTGTATTTCAATGGTACCCAAACTCTGAAAATAGCATGGTTCTCCATTTCCATAACTCAACAGAGCAAATAGTCACAACATGCTAGCTCTTATTACTTCCTTTCCAACTTTTGCAGTTACCCTCCAAATATTGTTAAATGGGGGGGGGGGCATCTTTTTTCACTACTAGATATGTTCCTGAATATTGCATGCCTCTTTTCAGCTCAGACATAGATCCGGACATCTGTTTTAGGTCTGATGGGCCACCAACCAAAACACAAAGGAGAATATCCTAAGCACAAGCAAGCTGGTGGTCCTTCAATGGAACTGGAACAATTTTTGCAGAGGTCTTCTGTCCATATCATGCAGATAACAGCCTTTTGCTGTACCTTTCTTCATTTAATTTCTCTACCACCTGTAGTCAAAGCCCTCTGGGCAGTTTAGAGTGCATAAACCACTTGCTACATAGCACTGTTGGTTTGCATCCAAAGTTGCAGGTGGAAAAGTAGAGCCCAGGAGTGGCCATAAAGTTGGGGCATGGGGAATTGTTTTGCCTGGAAAGATTTAGAAATAAACTTTACCTGTTTGGTTATTCACTTATTACATTATCAGTAGAATTCCATGCATGCTTATTCAAAAGTAAATTTCAGTGGGGCTTCGGCCAAGGTGCCTATATATAGGATTGCCACAACACCTACCAAAATGCTTCAAATATGCACGAAAACCAAGGAGGGATTGAAATTCTAAATGTAAATGGCTTCTGTAATAATTCTGTTGCTTGTAGCTTTCCAAAGACTTGGTTTAGATTAATAAGAGATACAAGAGAAAAGTGTTGTTTAGTTTAATCCATTTCTTCCCCTCTGTATGCACAGAATCAGTTTTGCTGTTGCTCTGTGCCATCGAGTCAGCTCTGACTTACGGCAACCCTATGAGCAAGAGCCTTCCAGAGTACCCAATCCACGACAGCCATGCTCACATCTTGTAAACTCAAGGTTGTGTTTTCCTCGATGGAGTCAATGTCTCGTACTTGGTCTTTCTTTTCTTCTTCTGCCTTCAATTTTCAGGTTTATAGGCACTTTATAACTGCTGTTTTAAAATGTGAAAGCAAGAGATTTCTGCCTTTGCCGAGCGGCTAAAGTGGGAGAAGGAAGGAAGTGGAATAGTTGAGCAGAACCCCTCCCAAAGAGAAGTTGGATGATGCTCAGTTCATCCAGTAGGATGCAAAATGCCATGGTCAACATGGGTTTGGACTGACCGGTGATTTCTCCCCCTTTTGGAAATAGATGTCAGCAATAGAAACAATGACAGAGAAACTGGAGAGCTTTGCAGCCATGAAGACGGACGCTGGCGCCTCCTTGCAACCCCTCCCACATCATCCCTTTAACTTCCGGTCACCACCTCCTACGCTATCGGACCCCATTTTGCGCAAGGGCAAAGAACGTTACACCTGCAGGTAAACACTAAAGGCATTAAGCCAGCTAGAAAAGAAGATGTGGGCATGGCTTAGTGCTGAGATGCAAGAAAAGAGCATGTTTTAGAACACTGGAGCTGTGCTCTGATAGGCATGTAATGAGCAGAGCCAGCTGGAGCCGAGGGTCAGACTAGATGGCCTGGGAGGTCCCTTCTGACTTTCTCTGTTTTTATGTTTCTATATTCATATATGCTGAGCAAAGCAAGTTTGGTGTGGTGGTTAAGAGTACATGACTGGAATTCTGAAGATCTGGGTTCATCCGTGGAGCTTCCTGGATGGCCTTGGGGTAGTCACAGACTCTCAACCCAACCTGCCTCCCAAGGTTACTGGTGTGAGGATATGGTTGAGGGAGAGAAGGAGAATTATGGGTTCCTTGGAAGGAGAGAAAGAGTTGATATAAATATAACAAAGAAATTGTGAGCAATCCAAGTAGGAGCAGTCACTGCACAACAGCCCAGGTGGAATGCCTGCATACCGATTGTTGTGCAGGCAGTCAAACCAGGGTCTAGCAAAGCTCAGCCGTTTCCAAAACCCAGACAGGTAGCTGTGGCCTGGGTTGCTCTCCTCGGTGCTCAATTCACCACATGTGAGCTTCCACATAGCCTGAAGTGCCTGATCCTGCCTCATCCTGGAAGCTAAGCAAGACGGGCCGGGTGGGAATCTGGATGGGTGACTTGTGAACTGCCCAGAGAGCTTCAGCTGGGCACAATATAGAAATGTAATATAATAACAATAACAAAACAATCACAACAACAATAACAATAACAGAACGGTAGTAGCGTTGGGAGGGACCTATAAGGCCATCAAGTACAAGCCCCATCGGTGAGGGTGTTCGAGGACAGGCTGGACATGCACCTGGTAGGCATGTCATGAGTGGAGCCAGCTGGAGCTGGGGGTCAGACTAGATGTCCCAGGAGGTCTCTTCTGACTCACTCTGTTTCTATGTTCCTTCATCTGTATTGCTCAACGTGACCCAGAAGAAGGCTGCTGGTCATTCAACTGTCATTCTGTGAGGGCCTGCAGGCTTCCGCACAGCTCAGCGAGTCTTCTAAGACCAGGCCAAGCCTGAGGGGAAGGCTGCTAGAGGGGTGTCTTCTATGGTATTTCATCCCAATCCTAGTTGCTCTGACACCTTCAGAGGAACTGAAGGGAAAATTGGGTGCACCACCCACTGGCCATGCATGGAAGTTGGAGAAGGACTTCCCACCTAAACGTTTTAGGAAATTCTGACAGACCTTCCTCCCAGGCCCAGAATCCACATTTATGATCACTCAGAAAACCTCCTTCCATGTAAGTAACCCAGATGTGCCATGAGAAGCACTGGGAACCTCCTTTTAGCAAATGGATAATCACTGATCAGTGTGGTTTTCTATCAGATACAGTTTTGTGATGACGATGGTGCATTGAAAAGGACTCAGGCCAGCCGAGATGAAGGCCAATCAGGATTTCCTTTTGTAGCAAGGAGAATGTGGCTGCAGAAATGCACGTGTGTTGCCAGGGAACATGCCAAATTAGTGACTCCACAACGCTTCAGATTAGCTTCTAACGCCTGATCTGGGTCATATGAACTGCCCATAAAAGACATCCAAGAGTCTTTATATACCTCTGATGGATCTTTGTAGGTGACCTTTTAATTGCAACACACTTTGCATACTCAGTGAAAGTAAGTTTGCCAAAATGGACTTTGTCCAGTGAGATTATCACTACTCCATCACTGTGTCTGAATGAACAATAATCCTATGAAGTTGACCCTCTCTCCACCTTCTAGGTACTGTGGTAAAATCTTCCCACGTTCAGCCAATCTTACAAGACATCTCCGGACACACACGGGAGAACAACCTTACAGGTGAGTAAGAACATGTCTGCTGAAATCAAGAAGAACAGCAAAAAAGCACATTTGAGAGTTTTGGAGGGAGGGACTGGGCCACATCTATCCAACACACACATCTTTTTATGGAACCAGTAATCACAGGATTCTGAGACGGTCCCTAGTGTTCTAGGCAGATCCAGAGTGGAAACGGATTGACAAGAGTGGAAACGGATTGACACCTCAGATATTTTTTTATAATAAGTTTTATTCAAAAATATAATCCTAAAAACAAAGAAAAACTTAAAATATCATCAATCATCAAAAACATTGGGCCTGCTGGGTCAGCCCCCACATTTTTTTTTCCATGTATGATAACTTAGAAACATATTTAAATCTATATGAAGTCCCGTTTCTCTAGCCAATGATAAAAAGAGTCCCAAGTTTGATAGAAATCAGTATCTTCTTTCTCCTTCAGTGACAAAGTCAATCTATCTATTTCTGCACAGTCCAAGATCTTTTTTAGGATCGGTTCGTCGGAGGGTGGTTCTTCACTTTTCCAGTGTTGAGCAAATGCAATCCTCACCGCAGTAATTACATGTAAAAGATACCTTGGATATTCACATTCAGATCTCAGTTTCATATGGGGCAGAAAGCTTTTAGCAAGAGTTTGAAACACTGCTGAATTCTAAGAGTGCAGAAGAATTCTACCAAAAGAACTTCCAGCCCGGTTCGTTGTGGGATAGAATGGCATTCAAACTGGAAGGAGAGAACCTGCCAATGGAGGACTTGGTGGTTTTCATCCAAATCCGTTTTCCCCATCCAGGTGTTCAGATTTTATATTGCAGCTCAGAGGAACTATTTTAGAACCATCAAGAGCAGCAAAACTTGGTTATCTTTTAAGCAGTGAAATGAAAGTAAATAAAACTGGCAATGCAGAGGCCCTAGAAGCACGTGTGTGGGCAGCTTGGGCTAGAAGTTTGCTTCTCAGACTGGACATGGTGTTGTATATTGGAGGTTCATCTGTTGGGGTTTTTGAAGGGCCAACCTAAATCCCCTCCCTCAAATCTGAGATAAATTTGAAATGGGGAAGCAAAATGCATAGGGAGGTTTATGATTGGTGTGATGGCAGAGGACAGGTTTTTTTCTAGAACATTCTAGGAAAAAATGGAGCATGTCAACAACCTCTTAAGAAAATTTCCCCAAATCAGTGCCTATATTGAACCCCACAAATCATACCATCCTTGAACGTCGAATCAGAATCCTCCTGGCAGAAATTTCAGATCCTTTCCCCCACCAACACCCCAATCCACCTAAAGCCTGACTTATGTGCATGTTGTAATGACTTTGCCCCGTTCTGATCTATTTTGCTTAGAATGAAACCAATACCACCAGGTTTGGGTGTTCGGTCCAAAGCACGCTCCCATTTATTCACAGCTTATTTAAGCCATTTTTCTTCCAAAAAAGGAGACTTTAGTACTTAGCATAAGTTAGCAAAATAAAGATGTGTTTGGTCTGGTCCTCTCCCAGAAATAAAGGGCCATGCATTTTTGTAGTCATTGAATTTTGACTTCTGAACATTCTTGCATAGTAATGACTCTCCAGAGGGCCAATGCGATGTTTCGTGAAGAGCATGGGTCATTATTTTCTTTTGCTTGGTTCACAACTTTGGCTTCTAAGTTTAACAAAAAATAATAACTGTTATTGTTTGGAAAGCTTTCTGGCTTGGTCTGGGGAGGAAGAAACCCATCATGAAGCTGTAACTCATATATTTCTGTGTTGGGCCCATGACTCAGACAGGAGCTGCTGTTGGTGTCAGATAACTTAAACGAAAGTGGATTTCTTACTTGTTGTCCTTGTTTGGTAAGAAAGAAATTACTCAGCCTCTGCTATGGGCATGAAGAACCAGCAGTCTTGGAGGTGAGATGGAATGAAGCGGCCATTTTGGTGGAGCGGGTGTCTTCTGCAGCCTGGGGGTTGGGCAGCGGCCACCTGGGGGACAGCCAGGCAAAGGTGACTGAGTCAGCTCGTCTTCAGGATGGCCTGAAGGAAGCCACCATTCTGGGGACAGCAATGCTCAGTCAAGGATAAAGGGCACAGATGACCATTCAGTCACAAGACTGGGGGAGCGCTCTGGATGGAGCAGCGCCTTGGCGAGAAGCTCTGCTGCTTCTGTCGTTGTGACGTGCCACCGAGTCATCTCCAACCCTATGAGTGGAACCCTCCAAAATGTCTTCTCCATGACATGCCTGCTTAGCTGCTACATTCAGGGCTGCGGCTTCCTCGATGGAGTCCGTCCATCTCTTACCTGATCTTCCCTTTCATCTTCTGTCTTTGACTTGCTTGACCATGATGCTCTTCTCCAGGGAGTCTGGCTTTCTCATGGGGTGCCCAAAGCACAACAGCTTCGGTTTTGTCATCCTTTGCTTCTAGGGAAAAGCTCTGGCTTAGTTTGATCTACATCCACTTGTTTGTCTTTCTGTTGGTCCAGGGTCTTTGCAAGGCTCTCCTTCAACACCATGTTTTGAAAGCATCCATTTTCTTTTTGTCAGCTTTCTTCAGTGCCCAGCTTTTATTATTATTATTATTATTATTATTATTATTATTATTATTATTATTAGAACATTTCTATGCCTCCCCTTGCCAAAGTCTCGGGGCGGCTTACAACACAATAAAATACAATACAAAAATAACAATATAAAATTAAAATTAATAATATAAAATAAATAAAAATATAAACGATATAAAAGAAGTTAGAAAAGTTAGAAAAGAAAAGAAAAGAAAAGAAAAGAAAAGAAAAGAAAAGAAAAGAAGTCACCCTGGCCAGATAAATAAGTAAATATTGTTAACAATTAAAATGACGTTTAAATAAAACTTTCACACCAGTACATAGCGATTAGTAAAACAGTCGTATGGATGATCTTGGCCTTGGTCTCCAGTGAAACATCTTTATATTTGATTATCTTTTCCAGTTCCTTCTTTACGCCCTTTCCAAGTCTCAGCCTTCTCCAAATTTCTTGGCTGCAGTCTCCTTTTGAATGGATGACTGAGCCAAGGTATACAAAATCTTTATTATTGATAATGGCCATTATACTGGGAATTATATGCCAGCATCCACATGCATATCTTATCGTAACGGTAAAGGTATTTTTAAGCGCCATCTGTACTTCTCAACTTAGGTGCAGAATAAAATGTGACTCAATGCAAAAGGTGCACAGCTTAACTCGAACAGTCTCTCAGCATTGACTTCCTTTGTGGTTTCCGTTCTCCGTCTTTTAACCCCCATATACTCAAGCTCGGCTGGTGAGCAGGATGGCAGCTGGTCTCTGGTTTTCCCTGGAGAGCTTCAGCTCACCCCTTGATAGTGTGGGGTCCCTACATCCTGCAACCCACCCATGGGCACCTCCCCAATGGCTAGAGGAAGGTGGGGAGCATTGGCTACTGATGCTGCTCATCCAGCTGCCCAGCCTCATCCCAAGGTGACAGATGTTCAGGCCTGGAGGGCAGCCAAGAAGCTGAACCCTGGGAAGGTTGCGTCTAGGAAGGCTGAGTCCCTGGGTCTGCGAACTGGGGGGTTTACCTTTGGGATGGGATGCACTCCCCACGGAAAGAATAAAAGTAACGCAGCTCCTGGATCCCGCGTCCTCTTGAGAGGTCCATGTGATTTCTGTAGCACAGAGGACCTTCTACCAGTTGAAGGTGATGGTCAGCAGTGCCCATTCCTGGACACTCCAACCCACCTGGATCGGTAGCTGGACGACTGTGATGTTGTGCTCTGCCTGGGGCTGCCCTTGCCACAGCTGAAGTTCAGCTGTCGAGTGGGGTGCCCAGCCATGCATTTCCACCAGCTGTGCCAGCTGCATTGGCTGCCAGCTTACTATCAAGGCAAGAAAAAATCAGTGATGATTTTTTTTTCCTTTTTATTGACAATCCTAAAAAATCACAAAGTTAAACCATTTACATTATAACACAATCCAAGATTCATCTTATACACACAACAGGTTCCAAAGCTTAAGCTGACCAGCATTCCAGCCAATTCCCCACTTGGTCTTCTGTTGTTTGAGTCCCTTTCACAGACAAATACTGAATGCCGTATTTTCATAAAATTATCTTGTTTTATTTCTCTTCTACATAGTCTAATCCAATTAGTCTCCAAATGTGTAGGGTGGGTTCCCTATATGTTTATCTGCTATTTGTACAAATAATTGGATATATTTTCTTGAAAGTTAGCCATGTTTCCTGAGATTGCAAATTTGGAAAGTCAATGCTTATCTGAACCACGTGGAGTGGTGATGCTTGCAATTCTCCAGACTGCTTTTAAAAATTAACTGACCTTGCTCCTCATTGATGGACAAGGGATACAAGCTAGCAAATTGAATGTCCGGAAGGTGGAAGCCCCCGTTTCTTGTCCTTGGCACGCTGTGCTGAGAAATTTGGGTGTGTTTGATCTGATTCTTGATGAGGATGGAGCAAAGTTCTCAAAGAAAGAATAAGGAGTATGGCACAGTTCTGTGTGACTTCACCGGGCACTCCAAATCTCTGGGCTTTAGCAATCCGATGCTGCCCTCTTCAGGGAATTTAGAAATATTTAACATGTAAGATTGTTGAGCCTCACCATCATTCCCTAGCTGATATCATTAGCCTGCACTCATTGCTAGATCGCAATTCTCATCCCTGCTGCGGTAACAGTCACCCAAACATAAAATGGTTGTTTTTTTCTGTCACGTTGTCTTGGAGGTAGTCAAAAACTGGATGCTGCGATGGACAATGATCCGATCAAAGGTTGCATGTAAACCTTATCTGTTTTTCACTATCTGTCAATTATTTATTTACTTCATAGCATTTTCGATCCTGCTGTTCAGCTAAAAGGCTCATAGAGCAACATAACAAGAGTACGTCTGTTTGCAGCCCTCCAAATCTGAAAGCCATGGCGCAAAAGGAAAGGGGGGCTTGGAGGGAAGAGGAAAGAAGCAAAGTCAGGCACTTGGTTCTTAGTTACAAACTTGCTTCAGCTCATGGAGGATCGCTGTTTCCTTGCCCCTTGATGGCAGAGCACCTGGAGAGAAGGGGGCACTCACCTGGCGCTGTATCTAAGTGTGATGGGACATCACCTTGCGGCCTTTCCTCTCCCTTGCCAACAATCCTGCTTTGCTTTGATGTCTTTTTTCAGGTGTAAATATTGTGACAGGTCATTCAGTATTTCATCAAACCTCCAACGCCACGTTCGAAACATCCACAACAAGGAGAAGCCATTCAAATGCCATTTATGTAATCGGTGTTTTGGCCAGCAGACCAATCTGGACCGGCATCTGAAAAAGCACGAACACGAGAATGTCCCAGGTAACAAGGAAAGCGGGTGCTGGTCATGGCTAACCGCGCCTTTGACAGAGATGGGTGGATCTCTCCCTTTTAGCTGCTGCTCTGCATTCTGTTTTCCATTCTTCATTTTGTCACATCTCATTTCTGCAACTGTTTTTTCCAAGTCTGCATGAAAACACTTGAGTTGTGCATTTTCAGCTCAAAATTTTACCTAATTTACTCTGTTTCGCAAGCCACTTTCCTTAATATTGTATGATTCTATCTTAATAGATGCCACTATATACACGGGCATATATACATAGCTCCTAGTATATGTGTGCATTTTTTATTGGAAGCCCAGCCATCAGATGTCAGATAGCCGGCACTCTTGACCACAGCTTCTATCAGCTTTGGATGATTCACCAACGGCATCCCTCTCTGGAGGAGACTGACCGGAAAACAGTATTGCATGCATTGGTAACTTCTAGGCTCAAATTCTGCAATGTGCTGTACATAGATTCACCCTTGTGCCCACTCCAGAAACCACAACTGGTACAAAAGGTGGCAGCCAGGCTGGTGTCTGGGACATTATGGAGTGACCCCATCCCCAACCACAACCACAACCCCAACCCACATACTTGTACCACCCATAGCAAAGCTGTCTGTGTGGTTCATAGCATTAAGTCACCCACCCAGATTTCAACCAAGCCCAACCCTGCTTAGCTTCCAAGGTTGGGCATTCACCTATTTCAGAGTCTTTGCCCTGGCTGGCAATACGTTTCCAGATACAGTACAAGGTACTGGTAATTACCTTTAAAGCCCGACATGGCTTATGTCCAAAACACTTTCAGGAGTGTCTTTGTCCATGTCTTCCACCTCACCAGCTGAGGTCCTCTAGGGAGAATCTTCTTCTGTGGGATTAATGTCAACTCCCCAAAGGACTTTCTCGGTGGTTGTCCCTACACTATGGAATGGCCCACTAGGAGAGCCACACCCAATATTCCAGACAGTATATTTTAATTTCCCTAGAAGCACGTTTATAGATTTTACAAGATTTTCAATCTCCAAAACCGTGCATCTCAGGTCTGGCATGCACAAGCCGGAGAGAGAACAGTGGGTTTAATGTGTGGAATACAAAATTGTAACCATGGACTAATTTATGGATATTGTCAGCTCCTCAAAGATTATAGGACAATTGTAGAAATACATCTGCTTCCTAACTCTCTCCCTCTCAGTACAGCAGGGTTCATGAAACTTACATATTTTGTCTTGGTTGGCAGCTTTTTTCTTGCGGATACCCTGTTTGGCTTTTAAAGGTTTTAAACTTCTGTATAATTTGGGGGTTTCTTGGAACATACTAAAAAATGCCTCTTTTCACTGGGCCTGTTTTGATTCCAACCCTTTCCTCTCTCCACCACCTGAATCTCTGAAGCCTAACAGTGGGAGGAAGCGCAGCTTACCGTCCAGGCCCCATTGCGACGAGTGTTCTGTTAGACGGACCAGTTCGGTTCGCCCCGATCTTGACCTTCCCTGGTTCTCCTCTTTCCTTACCTAGTGAGTCAACACACTGGCCTTACCACCAACCACCTGGGGAACAACGCTTGCTCACCAACCTCAGAATCAGACAACCATGCACTGTTAGACGAGAAAGAAGATTCCTATTTCTCTGAAATCCGGAACTTCATTGCGAACAGCGAAATGAACCAATCGTCCGCTTTGGCAGATAAAAGGTACGTGAGAAGCGGAGTGGGGTGTGGACTGGAAGACCCCAGTTCAAACCTTAGCTATGCATGGGAGAGGCCGATATTTCGGTGAGAAAGCACAAGTCTTGCTTGCACTTTGAGGGTAGGAATTCGAGGCTGAAACCAAGGCCCACTGCAGACCTCTGGTCACCACAGGGAGAGCTGCAGGGCACCCGACCCAGAATATCAGTTTCCTACACTTAACATGAGCAGAGTTAAGCATATGAAGGATTGGTGAGGTAATATTTGTGAGGTGTGTGGAGGAATTGTGGAACAGCATGAAACATCCCTGTTATCTTTATTAGAATGTACATTCTGTGGCTGTGTAGGCTCACATAGTCAAGTCCTCCTCCGGACCAATAAATAAATAAATCCTTGCATGTAGAAAAGTAGCGTGTCAGGGACAACCCTGAAATGCTGTATTTCTGTGTGAAGTGATTAAAAAGAAAAGTAGAGACAGCCGTTCATGTGAGCCCCGTCAGCATTCTGTAGTCCTGTCATTGTCTCTAATGCATGGGGACAAGCCAAAATGTTAGTCTGTTGACTAGAACGTTTTTCAAATAGGTGAGAGAACAAAACACCTGGTAGGATGTTATTTATGTAGGACATTTATAGGGCGTCCATCACTGTCATCTCTGGATGGCTTACAATATAATATCATCTAAAGCCTAAACAAAATAAATTAGCTATACTACGACTGAATACATAAAATACAGTAATTAAAATAAGTTAACTACTAACTTATTTAAATTCACTAAAATCAATTAACATTAAAATATTGGTCAAATAAAAAGGTCTTGACCTGGTGCCGAAGAGCATGTAAGGATGGCGCCAGGTGGACCTCTCTAGGGAGCGCATTCCCTAGTCCATAGTTATATGGAATTCCAGTCCATACTTCCTTTCTCTCCACCTTTTTCCATTTCAGAGCCTGTTCTAACACCAGCCTAGGTACCTCAGTTTAGATTTGAGGACGCTTAGGCAGAAATGAAGCTGCCAAATCAAAGATGATGCACAGTTTAATTGAATACAATGAGGAAATATGGATGCAAAGTTGTATCGAACAAGCAAAAGAGAAAGCTTGTGAACATCCCTTTGGTTGGAGGGGCTTCCTGGTGGAACAGATGTTTCCTTCTTTACTTGGACACCTTGGGAGCTCCTGGTCCCAGGTGGAAAACCAAAGGACAAACCCATGTTGTTATTTGGGACACTGTCCAAAGAGTGTTTTGATGGTCTCTTGCAGTGCCTCGGCCTTGTGTTCATTCTGTTAACCTGAGACCAAAAATCAGTTCAGTTGCGTTTTGCATTCACATTCCAGATTAGCTGATAATTAATAGCCTCGCCTGTGAAAATACATTGTGTATATGTGAATTTGCAGCTGAAACTGAAAATCTGATATTTTACCATTACTAAACATTTGGTGTTAGGCATGAGCAAATCCTGAGCAAAAATGCTGGTCTTTCCTCTCTGGGGCTTCTTCTCACAGCAGTCCTAGTGACTGAGAAGCAGTGGCCACCCATCTTCTGAATCCTCCTCGTGGCTTCATAATCCAGTTCCCCTGGGCTTCCTGATTATCAGTGGTTTTGTGACTTGGAGCTCCAACTCCTTGGAGGGGGAGAATTCCTCCAGAAGGGGCATGACAGGGGCAGAAAGATACCCCTGGTGCCTCTAGCCTGGCATTGTCTACTTTGATGGGCTTCAGCATCCCAGGACCTCAGCTAGATGGGGGTCTTCTCCATTATCAGCCCTTGCAATAGGGGATGCCATGGGTGGCCTCTGTGTCCAACGCTCCTCCCGTATCCCCTGCACTTTTTTACCTTTACGATAAACGTGAGTTGATGACTCCATGTTTATTGGGAGCAGAAGATGGAGGAAAGCAAAAATGGAGACAGATACCCCATTTCTACTTCCAAATGTCCTTCCCTTTTCGCTTACAAAAAAACAAAGCAGGTGGCAGCTTTGCTCAGGACCCCAAAAGATGGGCTGCCGTTTGTTTGCGTTCAAGATTTCATGTCTCCGTGTACACAGAATTAAAAGTTGTGAAAGCGCCTTTTGCGCAACATTGGGAATCCTGATTCCTAGAATCTGTTTTACTGTAGATGCATGCAGAGAGAGAGAGAGAGAGAGAGAGACAGAGAGAAATGTAGACGTGAGATAGCACTCGAATTATCAGCTGACTGGCCTAATTGATCCCAAGGGAGAATCAGGTTTAGAACCCAAGAACACAAGCATCCCTCTTAGCTCATTTGGACTATATGACAATATGCAAGGCTTACAGGAACCGTGTGCCTCTCCTGACCCTTTTTTAACCCTCTGATTAACTGACATTTAATCTGTTGAGCAACTGAGAAAAAACAGTTACTCTCCCTTTTTAACATTGCACATGCCTGCTGTCCCACTGTTCGATGCCAGGTGCAATTATACTTCTGTCTTTCTTATATTTCCAAATGGATTTACTTATATTACATATCTATACTGCCCCATAGCCCACAGGGTCTCTAGGCAGCTTACAGGATAAGAAACTATATTCAAAACACCATGACAAATCTAACTATTAAAATAACTGGAAAATAAAAGGTTTTTCACCTGGTGCTGAAAAGAAGAGAAGGAATGCACCAGGTATACCTGTCTGGTATAAATGCTGTGTAAAATGAACACAGGCATTTTCTATTATTGTATTGTATTGTTTTATTTTATTTTATTTTAATCATTCCATTTTTGTTTGGAGAATTGCATGCTTACTGGCCCTCAGATCAGGTGCAAATGAGTTCTTTGTCAATGGCCCTTATTTTCCATCTGGAACACTGCTGTTCCTGGATTTTGGTAGGACGGTAGCAAACATACAATTTCCTATAGCAAGCTACAAGTTATAAACAGCAATCATTTAGACATTTGAAATGGGGAATGTCATCTGACTTGTACTGCAGACTTCTGCAGATCGTAATGCTGTGCTGCAAGACTTTTCCCTTAAGTTGCTCTTCAACAGGGCTCAAGCTGATCTTCAGGGCCTCCAAAGGTCAACAGGGAGTCCTGGGAAATGGCATTTCCCAGGGCACCTGACAGTCAGAATGTCAAATGCCGTGGAAATGGCATGATCGACTTTTCTTGTATTCCAGAGCATACACAGTCCCTATGATGCTGCACTAGAAAATGCAGGCACGCTGCAAACTATATTTCCCATGGTCCCCAGGGGCTGGGAACTGCTTCTTCAGTGCTCCAGGTGCTTCCAAAGGCATGTTTGACAAGCCTGGGGCTGAGGCTGGTGGTATGTGCGTGAATTTGGATTTCATGCTTCCTTAGGAGAATGCAGTGCGTAGTGGGAGGATGCTTATATCCTGTGTGAAAAGGAGGGGCTCGGATTTCTAGACTGAACAGCTGAAAGGGAATTAACTGGTTTGCTTTCTGGAGGGGCTCACTCATTCCCAAAGGAAGTTGAGTTCACTCATCATGACTTGGAATTTTCAGTCCCAGCAGAACTGGGAACAAAGACAGGATGGAGTGCTGGGCAGATGCTCCCAAAAAGGCCAGAGCAGGGCTTGGTCAGCTTGGATGCCAAGAAGTACTTCCTGATGGTTAGGACCCCTACGGTATGGAATGGGCTTCCATGGGAGATGGTTGAAGCCCCGTTGGTGAGGGTGTTCAAGGATAGGCTGGACATGCACAGGGTAGGCATGTTGTGAGCAGAGCCAGTTGGAGCCGGGGGTCAGACTAGATGACCCGTGAGACCCCTTCTGACGCGCTCTGTTTCTATGGGTCTAATACTCCAGAGGCAGAACAATTATTTGGGCCATGAAGCTGGAAACTGAGAAGGGAAGCTGACGGGCACAGAGGCTAAATAGGTGGGCAAGTGAATAAGCAGAGTCCAGGTGTTGAGGAGCACCCAAGGATGTGCTCAGACCAGCTCTGCAAACATTTCTAAGCAAGTCTGAAAGGACTAGTAGGCACCAGCAAGGGGAACGTATCTCAGCCTGGTTCTTTCCTTCTGCTCTTTGTCAGGCTTGAGTGTCTCTCCCAAATGGGCCAATCCGTAACACTTAAAATCTGTGTCCTGTTGTGCACAGGAAAGAGTTTGTCCCCTGACCAAAGTGCTGGACTGAGGGTGGGGAGCAGGTACAAGCTCCTCCATCAGTCCTGGCCCCCATCAGCAAAGCTCTGTCAGAGCTGGCAGATCAGCGCCCCAGTGGCGCATGGCCCGACACGCTTTGAGCTGCCTCTTCCTGACCAAGGGGATGTCCTTGTGGCACGTCCCAGCATGTTCCAGCTGCAACCCGCATCAAGAGCCAGGGCACAGAGACACAGAAGCTGAGCGAGTCAGCAGGGGCCTCCCGGGCCATCCAGTCCGACCTCCGGCACCAGCCGGCTCCGCTCATGACATGCCCACCATGTGCACATCCAGCCTATCCTTGAACACCCGCACCGATGGGGCCTCAACGACCTCTCGTGGATGCCCATTCCCACCCTCGGGGTCCCGACTGTCAGGAAATGCTTCCTGGCATCCAAATTGAGCTTTGGCTCCCTGAGCTTTGCTCTGTTGGAGCGCGTCCTACCTTCCTCTGCAGGGGAGAACAGGTCTCTACCCACCTCCGTGTGACATCCTCTCACATACCTGTATGTCGCCAACAGATCCCCTCGGAGTCTCCTCTTCTCCAGGCTGAAGAGACCTGTTCCCTCAGTCTCGCCTCGTTCCCCATCCCCTGCAAACCAGCCACCAACCTTGTGGCCCTACGCTGCACTGACTCCAACCTGGCTATATCCTTCCTGTAATGAGGGGCCCAAAACTGAGCACAATGCTCCAGTTGCAGGCGCACCAGAGTCGTGTAGAGTGGTAGCAACACCTCTCTCGATCTAGAAGCCACACTTCTGGCTATGCAACCAAGGGTGGCGTTTGCCCTCTTGGCCACCACATCACACTGCTGGCTCATGTTCAGCCTGCAGTCAACCAGCACCCCGAGGTCCCTTTCACAAGTGCTGCTCTTCAGCCACTTGTCCCCTAACCTGTACTTATGACAGCTATTCCTATGCCCCAAGTGCAAGACCTTGCACTTATCCACATTGAACGCCATCCTGTTGTCTCCTGCCCACTTCCATAGTCTGTCCAGGTCCTTTTGGATCTGGAGTACCTGCTCCTCAGTTGTGGCCACTGCTCCAGTTTTAGTGTTGTTTGCAAATTTCACCAGCAGACTGTTCACCCCTTCTTCCGTGTCATTGATGAAAAGATTAAACAGGATCGGCCCCAAAGACAAGATTAAACAGGATCGGCCCCAAAGACAAGATTAAACAGGATCGGCATGGACCGTCACTGGGGCTCCTAGCGTAGGGAGTCCCCTACCAGACCCAGGATGCTCCTCAAGCAGCAGAGTCGTCTTCTGGTGTTTTGGCTCCACCATCCACCTGCTCTCCCCATTCCTAGTGATGGTAGCAACTGTCTTACTGGGGGAAAGGCTAGCAGGACCTTGTTGGACTAAAGTGGCGTGAAGCAGCGCCTGGTGGAGTCGAGGGAAGTGAGCAGTTTGCTGTGTCTCTCGCGACAGTGTCCGAGAGCTGCCACTCGTGTCCAGCCATGCTGACGATCTAAAAAGGAAGGATTCGGCTTACAGATCATGCTTGCCAAAGAGACGACACAATGCGAGAAGAGCCCTGCTGGACCGGACAATGGCCCTCCCTGTCCTGCCTCGTGTTTGCTTCAGCAGCCAACCAGATGCTTCAGGAAGCTTGGAGGCGGCAGCTCCCCAGCAACTGCCTCTGTTCATGAGGACTAGGAGCCACCTAGGACCAATAGCTTATTTCCTACGTCTAATGCCCTTTTAAGCAGCACCCTGCATTTATATGAAATCCAACATTCATTGAAAAAGGGGCCAATTCTGACCCCAATTGGAAATGCTTCAGGCAAGGCCATGTCTCCTCCAGGAAATCTGAATCACCGTGAGAATGGCTCTAGGGTTTTGGTTAGTGCAGGTGGTGGAAGAATTTTGCAGTGACGCATAACAAGAACATCTGCATGATACATCTTGACCTGTGCTCCTTCAATCTGTGCAAACATACGTTGGCCTTCCAAATTTAAAGTGCCCTTTTAAGAAAGTTGCTCTTGATGGATTCAAATAGTGTTTCCTGAAGGGTTTACCCCAGGCTCTTAGCTTTCAAAAGGGGCTAAGAAGACCTGGGGTTAACATTCTTGTGTGCCTTTGTTTGGGGTCACAAAAGTAGCCCATAGAAGTATAATATACAGGGATTACTCCGGGCATGCTTTGCTTTATAGAAAGAAATCTATAACAGGCAGGACGCTGAAATTTGGGGACATTGTTTACTAGGCAGATTTTGATAGTCCTAAAAGTCCTAGATGAAAGATCTACTTCTGTTTAAATTGCACAACAGAGTGTGAACCTTTGAGAGGCCAGATACCCATATATGTGAAATTAAACCGGTGGCCAACACTATTTACTTTTTCCACACCAGGCATCTTTTTCTAAATCTCTGTCTCTTCTTGTTCACCTTTTTTTTGAAACCGAAGAGCTTCAAATATTTCCAAGAACCTTCTCGGGTAGGAAAGATTCTCTAGCTGCAATGGGAAGGCAGGGAAGCAAAATTCCATCAGCAGACGTTCAGTGGGACTTGGTTTTTGCTTTCCATTTGTAATCCCTCCTGCTAATCTTTTGTGGGCATCCTTTGCAGGCCTGAAATCCAGAATGCTGATGGTAGCTCCCAGTGTCACGGCCTTGCAAATGACAAAGTGGAAGATGTGGATGAGGAAGAGGAAGAACTGGAAGAAGAAGATGACGACAGCCTAACAGGGAAGTCGCAGGACGAGACCGCATCGCCCACGACAGAGCCACAAGGAGGATATGAGGATGAGGAAGATGAAGAGGCCACATCCCTTACCATGAATTTTGACCGCACCCGAAGGTGGGTGGGACAGAGTGGGAGGAAGGACCGGCTTCTCCTGCCCTTCATTGGCAAGTCATGGATTAACCATGATTCATCCATTTGGCATGGCTAGAGCATCAAACGTAGAGATGCCACCCCCTCCCCACGGAAGACACTGGGCTTGGGTTGTGCTGACCAGTAGAGCAACAGAATGTTTCCATCCTATGCCAGCCCCTCCTGGCTGCCGGGAGGCCTTGGATGCCCCACATCCGTGCTGTTCCTCCGGGGGATCTGGGGAACTTGAGAAATGCAGTTCCCATGATCCCCAGGTGCCTTGAATGCACCATGCACACATGACCATGCTCTCCCTGGAGCCCACACTCTCCCAGGCTAGTGCAGGGCCAGCCCACCTATGAAACAGAGAGAGGGGCCCACCTCCGGTCAGGGAGCAGGAAGAGCACTGAACGGTGCCGCCGCCGCCACTCCACACCACAGCAGAAGGACCTGCTGCTGCTGCCGCCACCGCCAGGAAGTGTGCCAGGGAGTCCCACCAGCCCATTTCCAACCACGGCTTTCTCACAGGCTCTCTAGGGCAGCTCCCCACACACTGCTTTTCCCATCAAGAGCTGCAAAGCCAGAAGAAGCCGGGACCTTGCGAGAATCTGCGCAAGTCTCATGGGGCCCGGTCGAGCTCTTGCAAGCTCTCCTAAGACCTGGGCGGCCGCTTCTTCCAGCCATGTGGCTCTTCGTGGAGGCAGCCGAGAAAGTGGTGCAGCCACAGATAGAAACATAGAGCGAGTCAGAAGGGGTCTCCCGGACCATCTAGTCTGACCCCCGGCTCCAGCCTGCTCCGCTCACGACATGCCCACCCTGTGCATGTCCAGCCTATCCTTGGACATGTTCTGTTCTGTTCCATCCTACGTTCTGTCCCACCTGGGCAGTGGGAGAGCTTGTGCAAGGTCCAGAGGAGAACCTCTCAGCCCCTTTCATCATGTGAAAACTAGGCAGTGTAGGTGAGAGGATCTCACTGGATTCAGGGAAGGTACATGCTGTCCGGAAACTCATAAGCCTTATCTAGAAGCTCTATACTTATCTGAATGGGAAGGTGTGACTTAGAGTCCTGCAGCAGAAGGGGGTAGGACCAGATGGCCTTCTGGCCCCTTCCAACTCTACTATTCTAGAATTCTATGATCTTATTTCTCCTGGGGCTTTCTCAGTTGGCTTGCTCCTCAGAATGGTGTCAGTCAGGTAATGGAGCAATAAGGAAACCTGATCTGCACAAGCTGTAGAGCCTAGAAGTCTTTAGGACCCCAGGGTTTCTATTTTGGAGTCCACTGGACTCTAGTTTTTTTGTTTTTGGTTTTAATCCCCAAATCCAGTGGCGGTCTGTGGAGCGTGCAGCCTGGGTCTGTCCAGCCACCACTGGTCTAATGCAGTCAGACTGCAGCATTAAAAAGTACAGAAGTGATACTCTAGTACAAAGCAGACATGTGTGAAACAGAGCGAGTCAGAAGGGGTCTCCCGGGCCATCAAGTCTGACCCCCGGCTCCAGCCACCTCCGCTCACGACATGCCCACCATGTGCACGTCCAGCCTATCTTTGAACACCCGCACCGATGGGGCCTCAACGACCCCTCGTGGAAGCCCATTCCACACCCTGGGGGTCCAGACCATCAGGAAGTGCTTCCTGGTATCTAAATGGAACCTGGTTCCCTGAGCTTTGCTCCGTTGGGGTGCATCCTGCCTTCCTATGCAGGGGAGAACAGGTCTCTTCCCATCTCCATGTGACATCTCCTCACATACCTGCATGTCGCCAACAGATCCCCTCAGAGTCTCCTCTCCTCCAGGCTGAAGAGACCCCGTTCCCTCAGTCTCGCCTCATGCGGCATCCCCTGCAAACCGACCACCAACCTTGTGGCCCTACGCTGCACTGACTCCAACCTGGCTATATCCTTCCTGTAATGAGGGGCCCAAAACTGAGCACAACACTCCAGTTGCAGGCGCACCAGAGTCGTGTAGAGTGGTAGTGATACCTCTCAATCTCGATCGGAAGGACTGTTCAGGGGTGGCTTCTCTGGGCTCAGCTCCCCAGACTCCGGCCCCCGTTGCAGCAGCCCTGAACTCCTGACTTCCCAGCAAGCCCACCCAGCACTCAGAGGGTGCTCGCCAGGAACCAAGCAGAGTTCCTTTCCCACACCTCTTCCAGCCACCTCTGGGGCTGCTGCAACGGTGTGGAAGAAGGTTGCTGGTTGCACAACTGGGGTCAGCAAGCATTCCCAGACTTCTTCTTGATTCACCTCACTTTGGAGGACTGGGCCAAACGCAAGAGGAAGCCCACAAATGCTTGGGGGGGGGGGGATGGACGCCACCCTGTTCCATCCCATTATTCATGAGGTAGAGCAAGATCTATATGTGCCTGTTTCTTTCGGGGACTCCTGGAGTATTTGTGCCACTTTTCACAGGATGCTCAGAAGATGAGCTCCTACAGTGAAAGTGGTCACTTTTTAAAACCATGCCCTCTTGTAGCAAACTCAGGAACTCTGTTCTCAGCTGCTTCAGAATGAAGCGGGGCTGCCAGAGCACGAGGCTGTTGTTTCTTCATATTCCGGAGAGTATCTCAAGTTACACAGACCTATATGCAGTTGTATTTTTTTAAGACAGTTCTAAAAAAAGCCCTTCCAAACTTAATTATTTCATTTTTATACCACCCAATAGCCAAAGGCTCTCTGGGCACATTTAGAAAAGTTCAGTCAAACATATAAAAGCAAACATCCAATATAAGCAATAGCACAATAAACAATAAACCACAACAATAAAACTGCAGCAATTGCAGTCCAATTGGCACTTAAGTACAGCAGCTGTACAGAGTAAAATGCAATGTTAAAACTACAATTAGAACAATTAAAATCCTGGGAAAATTAAAAAAAGGTTTTACCTGGAGCTGGAAATAATAAAGAGCAGGAGCCAGGCGTACCTCTTTGGGAGCTTGTTCCATAGTCAAGGTATCACCACTAAAAAGGTCCTTCTCCTGGTGGCCTCCCTCTTTACTTCCTTTAGAGGTGCTCCTGGAGAAGAGACCCCAGAAACTTATAGAATATCAGTGGCGGTTGAACCTATAAAGAAACCAGATGTTAGACGGAGTACTTAAATGAGCTTTTCCCTTGAAAGCAGGAAAATGGAGGGCAAGGAAAGGAACTGACTTGCATAACCAATTTACAAGAAAGGAGGAGTACATGCCATGAAATTATGAGAGTCTGCCCTGCAAAGTCTGCCCGCCTTTCCTTCCTTCCTTCCTTCCTTCCTTCCTTCCTTCCTTCCTTCCTTCCTTCCTATGCCACAATTCAGGAACATCTCTAAGCAATTCAGAAAGGGATGTTTCAAAAGAAGAGGAAAGGAAAAATTACCCCATTTCCCTTTCCCCTTCCTTAGTACATCCTCTACGCTTTCCTGCACTATAAATATCACTTGGTTAAATGAGAGAGAGAGAGAGAGAACTAGCATTCACTGTTTCTGGGGTCATTTCTGTGCCCCAAAGACAAAACTGCCTATGGTGATGCAGATGTACCCACTGAAAGGCCATTGTCTGAATCAATGTTTCCTTCAGCAAATTTCCATCTACTTTTCAGGTTTCAGCTAGTGCAGGATTTCAAGTTTCAGGTAGTGGACATAACTTTGGGCTGAATCTTGCCTATACGATGAGGCTTTTCCTTGTGACCTTACATCCAGTTTTCTCCCAGTGAACTTCAGTGTTCAGCTGAGGAAGGGAGTGGTCCCTCTTTCTCATGCCCAAAGCAGACAATGATGAACTTCCTTGTAGGCCCAAGTGTGCTAATCTTGTACCTAGTCACAAAAGCGCCCCGCGACCTGCTATGCAGATTTTGGGAGTGATCACGCCTCAGACATGTTTGCTTTATAGGAAGATCATTGCAAGGGGTAGAGGACTGAAATGTGGTGACAGTCCTTCCTACCATGCATTTAACCAAGCCCTAAAAGGACTAGAGGGAAGGTCTCCTTATGTGTAGATTACTTGAGAAAATGTGAGCCTGGGGTGTGGGAGTTACCCTTGGATGCTGGATGAAATGCTTCGGAGCTAGCGGAACGTGAGTCAGGGCAATCCTGAGCCATCACCAACTTAACTTGGCCCTGCTCTTCTAAGAGAAGGCAGTCCTGGTTTGCCCGGCAGCAATGGCCGGTGCCCAGGAAGCCTCCACTTAACATTCCCCACCGCTCCCCAAATCACCCACCATCACACCCTCCCGCAGCTTGGCAGGAAATGAAAAATGGCAGTTTCCCAGAAATGGCCACTTCTTGGGTGATAGGATCTGGGCAGCTGCCCCAAAGTCCCAGGTACTGATGTGGGACTTGGCTTGAGGGAAGAAAAATAAAGCATTACTTTCTCCCCTCCCCACTAATCCCAAAATCCTTCACACCTGGCCAAGACATGAATGCTACTTCCAGGCTTGTTAGCAGCCCATCAACAACTTCCAGCAATGCACTAGCAGTATGTTGCGGGTTCCACTTCTCTGTGACTCCAACATTCACTTTGGAAGTCGAGTATTTAACACAGCTGTAAAAGTGCAAAGGAACTACATACCTTTGCTGCTGTGAGATGCTTTTTCAGACTGCTGGCCGTTCCTTCTAGGGGCCATACTCCCCTCATCCTTCACTGTGTTTGCCCTCATCTCCCACAATGGCCACGTTTTGCCAACTTCATGACGTGGCTGACAAAATAGCACGGAACTCTGCCATCCATCGGGCGAAAAAGCAGGGAGGGCAAAGGAGGCCAAGGACAGTGACGGCAAAGGCCGAAGCCCGAAATTAGAGAGAAACAGGACCAAAATGATGCGAATTCATGGCCGTGAGTGCCAAATGCAGCCTGGACGAAGGCATTTTGATGCTTTGTGAAACTGAGCATGAAATCAGGTAGGTAGTTTGGCCTCCGTCCTACTTCACAACACTCTGAAGATGTCCTGTGTCACAAATACGAAGGAGCGCCTCCTTCCATACATACCTGCCCACCCCCGAAGAGCTGAGTTGGAGGTCCTTCTCTGGGAGCCCTCCCTGAAGGAGATTAGGAGGGTGGCTATCTGGAGCAGGGCCTTCTCTGTGGTGGCGCCCAGTTGTGGAACATGTTCCTAAGGGAGGTGTGCCTGGCACTGATGTTTCCATTTCAGCACCAGGGCAAAACCTTTTTATTTTCCTGATATTTTAAATGTTAATGTTGTTTTCGAGATGTATGTATGCATGTATGTATTTATTTAAAGCTTTTATATTCCATCTACTACAAGCGTCTCAGGATGGCTTTACAATAAAAGCAACACAAAATAAAACAGAGTACAGCATCCAACTTCCAGTAAATAAAACCCTCCTTCAAACCAGTTAAACCTTAAAATAGTGGGAAAATAAAGAGGTGTCTGCCTGGTGCCGAAAAGAACAAAGCATTGGCACCAGGCAAACCTCTCTGGGGAGCGTGTTCCACAGTCGGGGTGCCACCACCAAAAAGGCCCTTCTCCGGGTAGCTACCCTCCTAATCTCCTTCAAGGAGGGCTCCTGGAGAAGGGCCTCTGCCCCAGATCTTAAGGAGAGGGAGGAACATAGGGAAGAGATGGGGTTTTATTTGCTGTAACTTGAGGTCTGATACTGTGCTTTTATTTTATTGTATTATCATCCGGGGACTTAATGAAGGACAGTATAGAAAAGCGTTAAATAAATACATAAGGAATATAAATAAATGCTTGTTGGGGAGGAATGGAGAAGCCATGTGACCCTTTGGCCAAACGGCGGCCACGCAGTCGCGGCAGCCAGATAAACAGGCCTTTTGCCCCGCAGCCAGCAGCAAGCACCGCACCCCTCGCAGTCCAGTCTCAGGCATCCAGCCTCCCCCGCGCTTGGTTTGCTCCTTCCGTCTGGCGTGACGCCCTCGTCTGTCCGTCCGTCTGCCTGCCCCCTGTCCCCGCATGCGCTTCCACAGCTCCGTGCTCTCTGCATGCCTTTGGAAACACTCACCTTTGCCCAGCTGTGAATCATTAGATGCGCTAACAGGTCAACCCCTTCCCTCTCCTCCTGATCATTGGTACAGGTGTATTGAGGAGGACGAAGCCGGCTTGTTAGATTTGGAGCGGATATTGCATTTTGGGAAGGGGCTGGATCTACGCAAGGCGCCCGAGGAAGTTCTTGAAGTAAAAGATGTGTATAATTCCACCTTAGACTCTGAGACAATAAAGCAGAATCTGTACAGGCAGGCTAAAAATCAGGTAGGTGCCTGTTGGGACTTTTGCTTAGTTTCCCCTTCAGCAATGCTATGGGGCTAGCCCCTCTGATTTCCATCTGCGTGGAGTTGAGGTTCTCCAGAAGAAAGAGGCCCGTGGAGGTCACTCCCTGTCCAACAGCAGCAACCAAGCATGAGGTGGAACAGTTTCCATCAAAGATGACAGAGTGGGCTCTCTTCACCTCTGAACCCAGAAGGCTTGCAGGGAAAGGACAGGGGTGTGGTTGCATGACGAACTTGGGGATTATGCCTGTTGACCTGCTCTGGTTCTCCACTCACCTCCCACTGGCCTCCACCAGCATCTGGCCAGGTCCTGCAGAACCCATCCCTCCAGCCTTCATGGCCTTCCTCTTGTGCGTGGCCCGGCCTTAGCTGAAAGGAAGTCCACCAAAGCTTGTACAAGGCAGGTTGCTGCTGAACACGACACGGACACAGGATACGCTCACCGGGATCTCGGATCCACAGCTGCTACAGAGTGGACCCAAGCCCAGGGACTCCACCAGATTCCCGTCTCCAAAAGATATTCCTCAAAAATCCCTAATCAAGCAACTGAGGAACTGAAATCTAAGTTCCTTACCTGTCTACCATGCTCAGGTTTCCCTGGAAAGACGTAGCGACTGGGTTCAGACAACACCATAACCAACACTCAAGGGCTGAGTATGGGTTTGATCCATGGGTTGGTGCCGAACTGTCGGTTTTCATGTTCTCTGAACCCAGTACAATAACAAACCACGGCAAAAACCAGAGTTCACAACTGGACAATAAACCGTGACTTCTCCTCATGGGTTGTTCACGGTTAGCACGTCATGGCTTGTTAGCACAGCAGGGTTGAGGAGCACAATAACCCATCTTCCAGCAACACTCCATGGTTCTGCAGCAACCCACTCTCAACCCTCGAATGTGGGTTATTGTGTCAACCCATCACTGCCAAACCGGTTTAAAGACTGTAGAGCAGCAGGGAGTGCTAAGGGAGAAATACTGCAGTGGGAATGTAGGTGTTCCAGCTATTGCCTTCCTGGGGAAAACTAGGCTTTTCATCTTTGAAGAGAGAGAGAGAGAGAGAGAGAGCTCATTTCCTGTTTCCATGCATGCCTCGTCTTTTGTCTTCTTTACTAATATGCTGAAAATGTACTAATTATTTATGTCGTGCTACGTGTTGCTTTTTCCACAGCTTTTGACAGGGCAATTTTGTCCAAGACATACACAAACACCACTGCAGACAGTTATTTGGTTAGAGGCAGGGGTGTTGGGGGAGAGACTGAGGGGTTATTTCCCAGGTGTGACTTCTCTTTTGCTATTAGTGCTGAAATCCGATGTCTTCTCTAGCAAGAAATCATCCCCATGGCCTCCCCAGATATCATTAATTAAGGAAGAACATGGACTCTTCCTCTGGCTAGGCCAGGCTTCTTTGTACTGGGTCAAATTAATATGACCAAGAAGTTTTGGCTGAATGTTGGTACTGGTTGCACTGTATATATCCTGCTTGTTATTGTCAGTCTTTCTCTGCTGATAGGACTCTGTTATCAGAGGTAGAAATGGCCTCCTCTGGCTAAAAGTTTCCCTTCCCGTCTACACGCTGGGTGCTCACATCACCTCTGCATAAGCAGGGCTGGCCTAAAACCTGCAGGTCTGGCCAAGCAATGGCTTGACTCTGCTGAACGGGCATGGTGTTCACCAGGTGCTCACAAGTTGTCTGGTCAGCTCCTCCCACTTCCTGCCTCCTTTGCCTCTTCTGCTCACCTTCCCGGCTTGAGCAAGTCGTCATTTGCGGTTCACTCTAGTCTGGAGAAGCAAACTGCACGCAAATGTTGCAGTTTGCACAAATTGTAATAGCACAGATTTGCACAAGTTTGCACCGATGGTCATTTGGCTACGCGCGGGCCAAGAAGCGAGGGGAGCTGGGCACGGGCAAGGCGGGAACGCAAAGGGACAAGGAGTGTTTTGACAGTGGCGTGTAAACCAAGTGATCTCGATCGCTGACGTTGAGAGGACAGGATGGTGTTTCTCCAAGGAACCTCCCAGACAAACGCAGCGGGCCAAAATTGAGGGCAGGTGTTGGCATGCAGAGCTCAGCTGGGAGCGACAGGGGGGGTGATGCGATTCTGCAACATGCTTCTCTGCAGAGGAAGTCGTGCTGATAACCTCTTTCCCGTGCTGTTTTCTCCTCTCGTCCCTAGGCTTATGCAATGATGCTGTCACTTTCTGAGAATGCTCCCCTTCATCCTGCTTCCCAGAACTCTCTGGATGCTTGGTTGAGCATGGGAGGAGCGGCTCCCGAGCCAGGGGGCTTCAGCACCGTTGGCCATCTCTGAGCGGATCAAGGAGGCCCCTGGCCGGAATCCCAGCGAGGAGGCCGAGGTGCCGTGCCTGGCCTCTCAGACCAGCTGGAAGTGGAAAACTGACAGAAAGCCCTTGGGACTGGCCATTGCAGGAGAAACCTGTCACAGGCAGCTCTTTTCCGTTTTGTCAAACGTAGCAAGCCACCGCACTCAGCCGCCCCAGGACCATGACATCCCAGATAGCGCGTAGTGCGTACCAGGAGTGCAAGTGCTTCTCGCACGGGAAATACCAGGTGCATTTGTTGTCCGAAAATCAAATACTGCCCCCCACTTATGTTACAGACCACATGGCTGAGACAGCAAGGACCTACCTGTAACCCGAACAAACGCTGAGATCCTCTCACCCTCATTTCCAGCTCCTCCAAGAAGACAATGACTTTCTAGGCCAGGTCTATTCCGATGAAGTCACTGGAGATTAGGACACGGTTGGCTTTCTCTTTCATTCCTACCCCTTAAAAAAAAAAAAGAAAAAAAAAGCAGTGTCAAATTCTGTACCCTCAGGTCCAGGGATGGACATCACGTAAACATTTTCCACAAGGCCCTTGCTGGGGAACCACCTCTAAATGCATTGTACCCCTGTGGTTCAAGTCCATGTCCTTTTTCTTTCAAGGCCTGTATGGGTCACTTCATGGCACCAAGGTCTTCAGCTCCGTTACTGCTTCGCAGCTGCTTACTCCGAGCTGGCAAGCCACCAAGAAGGAACTTCCTCTTGGCCCGCCCCACACCGTACTTACGAAGCAACACAACCTGTAGGTCTAATAGGTGACCCAAAGAGGTCTAACCCGAGCAGAATAGGAGAGATTTCTCTGCCCTACAGAATAATATGGTGGCCTTAAATATTCCTTAATTATAGCATAATGCAGAAATGCTTCTGGATGACAGAGAAAGAGAGAAAAGCAAACTTATCTCCCCTGATAAGTAGGTGCCAAATTGGGATGCATGGAAACGTAGAAACAGAGCGAGTCAGAAGGGGCCTCCTAAGCCATCTAGTCTGACCCCTGGCTCCAGCTGGCTTCGCTCATGACATGATAAAAAGAATCTCATGGAAACTCCTTTCTCCCACCCACCCATACAATGTCACACTAAAATCCCTTTTGCTTCTTTCGGAATTTCTCAGATGTTTAACCTGGGCAAGGAACCTCCAAATCTAGCCTGAAAGCGAATTGTTGGTGAAATTTTGATAGTGGCTTTAGCGTGGGTGTCTTTCTTTGTGGACTGGGATGGCTTTACAGAAATTATTTTTATTATTATTTATTCATAGCTCTGCCACTGAACGATCTAAACCAGAGTTAGCTAGAACACCTAAGGAAAAAGCTCCATGGTTTTATTTCACTGCTGGCTGATCCCGCGGCAGAAAACTACAGCCAAGGAGGTTTCTGCTCAGGGCCAGCAGCTCTTAAATCACAGGGCAGCTCACATCCAATGTTATGACAGGAGCATTATTCCTGTTTCCCCACTTCTGGAACTGAAGGGACCATCTTTCCCAACAGATTCCAAAATCAACATTTGGGCGCCAGTTCAAAAGCAGGGACACTTGTATGCAAATCATGCCAAGTGTGCATTCAAGGATTCCGTGGCTTGTTTTGAATTTTCATTTGGGCTTTCCTAAATAGGCATCCCTGGCTCAGCACCCCACCACCCCCTCAGTGCTATGGTTTTTAAATCATCTCAACATCAAGTTCTGAGACAGGGAAATAACACCACGGTCTCCAGCAAACACGGTCGCAGGCCCATCCTTCAGTTCGTTTAGGTAAATTCAGCATTTGTCTGCAAAATCCTTTATTTTGGAAAAAAATCTGTAGTAGTCTTGGGTAACCTGACTGGAGCTAATGATCCTTGAGTAGTTGCTTTCATTCTGTGTAGTTACTTCTAGGAGAGACGCTAGCAAGAATGCAGCCAATGGCGTGTGGCTCGTACTATATCCCCCCCGATACTGGTTGGTACACAGGAACTGGGAAGGTACTCGTACATCACCCATCATCCATTTCTTTTCTATCACCCCACCTGGCTGCTCTTGCAATAGTATAGACACTTTCAATGTGATGGGGAAGAAATCGGAGATCTGTTGCTACTGGCTTGGAATCCACCACAGAATAAACTTATTTCAGTTTAGACTACTCCAAGTATGTCTTAGTCTGGATCCAACACACAGTTTCCATTATGGCAGGAACCACCCTAAGAAAAAGCTGCTTCTGATATCTGTGTATACAGCAGACTTTGCATTGAGGAAGGGCAGAATATTCTTTTTCTTGCACAAAGTACTTCAATGCATGTTCTTGACAGAGACTGGAAAGTTTTCCTTCCTTCTGCTTCTCACAAGGGCCTCTTTGCACAACAGACTTAGAACAGGATTATCTCCCCCACCCCCTGCCCTGCCGCCAAGGATCTTTAGGATTGTAGTTTGGTCAAGATTTTGTTTTTCTTCTTTCCAGGGCTTCCTCAGAGAGGGGAAAGGCTGCAAATCCATATTAAAGTCAGAAGTATAGCTACACCTGGAGGTAAAAATATACAGACCTGAAAGAATGACCAGAAGTTGTTCCCAGGTCTCAAAACCAGTTGCACATCTAAGCTCTTTGAGCCTTTCAACATGAGTCATTTCTTATGCATTCATGAGTCTTTATTCGCAGTAGTTGGCAGGTGCTTTGCACAACACAATCATCCTCTAGGCCTTTTCCCATTCTTTGCAACCATTTCCACAGCTTTTGTTTTGTTTTTTGATTGAGGAAAGTCTGGTATTATGTGGAAATGACAGCATAAACCCCTCATGTGTTTGCACAGTTCTGCTGTTCCACAGTGCCACCTAGTGGTTGTGTGATGGAACCTGTGGAGAGGCAGAGAAAGAAAAACCTGGAAAAGCATGTGTAAAGGAGCTGGTCTTAACCCCGTAAAGAAGCTGCACATAGAAAAAAATTCATTCCCAAGCTTCAGGCACCAAAAGGTATCTATTTATTTGACTTTTTAAAAAGTTAAACAAATTAATTTTTTTTAAGGTAGAGTTGTTGATTTGAAAGAAGTCTTATACCAGAATTGGCATAAGAAAGTTGGCTGCCCAAGGCAAAATGGCAAATGGCATTCCCTTTCCAAGGCAGGTTATCCGAAGCCAAGGCAAGGTGCCTTTCCTCCTTCTTGGTGATAAATACTGATGTGATGATAAGCTAACACTCAGATGCCCTTTCATGGCACTTCATTCTTCCCAATGCTTGTCCAGCCAACCTTTTAATACCTTGGAAAGCAGCACTACTAAAAATTAGTATTTCTGCACCTCTCTCCCAAGCCTTGGAAATCCACCTGCTTCTGTAACTACTCAGGATCTTGGAGGAAAAGAAATCAAAATAAGAGGTTCTATACTCAGATCCCAGCAAATGCATTTTAATTGCTGCCCATCACCACCAAGTTAGTTTCAGCTGCAGTTCTGATCGTAGGTGATGGAGACAGTTTAATTGCTCAGGGCAGCCCATGCGGGGAGATCACCAAGTCCAAGCCCAATATTAATATTAATATTAACTACTCTTGATCAGCTGCAGTGGTTCCTTTTCCAACATGGAAGTGACTTTCTGCATGCGAAGCTCCTTTGATACATCCCACCTGTTCTCCTGCCAGTGCACAAGCCTTTTCCGCTGTCTGTCTACGCCAGCAGGTGACTTTGACACCCCAGAAGCATCTAGGATGGGCCATTTGCTGCAGAACAGTCTTGTCCAAGTTGGAAAAGTGTCCAGAAGGAGTCAAGCAAAGGAAGATTCCCTGCCCAAGCCATTGGGTGCAGAGAGGCACTTCACCCCATGTGAGTGAAGTCTGCTGAATATTATCCTCCCTACTAGGACAGCCTATGAGGTGGGGTCCTCTTGCACCTGACTTCTCAGCACCATGTCCAGCAAGGTTCTGGAGGACCTTCAGGCAAGGCACCCTTCTTAGCACCCTTCCCTCTGGGCATGGGCCCCCCATTGCCAGCAGTGGTCCTCAGTTCCTTTCTCATCATTGCTACCGCACCCTTCCCTGACAGGCTGTGGGACAGACGTATGGGGAAGGGCATCTCCTGCCAAACTGGTCTGGGGCAGAGCAAGAGTTATGCAGATGTGCCATGAACTCTCTCTCCCTCTGGGCCTCCACAGCCCTGCTCAGCTCTTGCAAACTCAGGACCGTGGCTATCTTTACGAACTTGATCCATCTCACAGGTGACCTTGCTCCTCTTCCGCTTTCCCTAGCTCGATGATCTTCTCTGGGGAGTCTTGCCTTCTCAAGATGTGTCCAAAGTAGGAAAGCTCCAGTTTGGTTATTTTTGCTTCTAGGGAAAATTCTGGCTTGATTTGATCTAGGACTGTCGCATGACAGTAATTTCCTTTGACCTCACAGAAGCTTATTTCTGAGTAGACATGTAGAGAATTGCACTATTAATTTATGAAGCAGCCCTTAGGACTTATTCCAGAATCACTGCACATAGGATTTCAGCCTGCCGATTGCTTGAGGATTACATCTGAGTTAGCATGCATGGATTAATCTGTTGGCATTTTAAACCCCCACCATAAAACCAGACACTCTACAGCCATGGCTCAGGCTGAACAACTGGGCAGGCCCTGCTCTAGAAACATCACCACCTGATTCAAGTCATCTCTGTAGGAATTCTATCAGCAGTGAAATTCCTTCCAAAGCAAGCGAGAACATGGCCTGTCATTTCCTTCCCACCACCCCTGCAACAAAAATCAGACCAAAACAAAGCAGAGCCCCCTTTCCAATCTTGCAAGATGTTTTCAGTCCAGCAAAGAATAGAACTCAAGACAGTGGCTTTGGAGAGAGGAAAGGAAGTGGTGGGTTTTCTCTAGGGGGGACGCATTCTCTGGGGGTGATGAGTTCCTGAGGTATGAGGGTTTCAGCCTCAGGGCTGGGGTGAGGAAGAAAAAGGCAGTGTTTTCTTGATCCAAAGCTGTTGTGACTCGGTGTACACACTCCCAAAGATCATAGCTGCCTTTGCAGAGTTAAGAAAACAGTGAAAAGAAACAAAACAAGCATTTGGAATGAGAGATGCCTTTTCAGTTTCAGAAGCAAGCGCTCCCAGTGTGTATTATCTCGGTGCTGGTGAAAGGGCCACGTCACCAAATCCGCCAGTGGGTTTCCGTTATCTGCCATGCTGCAGTTCCTCCCCGCTTACAGAATACAAAAACAAAAGCCAATGCTTCTTCCCATCCAAAGGACAGGCAGGACCTGGTACCAGGAGACTCAAAGGTACCAAGCTCTCTCTGCCAGAGGAACACCTGAAGAGCAATGTTATTTGAGCAGGGCTCCTTCCGCACAACAGCCAGGTTTAAAAGGCAGCAAGTTCCCCAAAATGCAGGCCCTGCCCAGTTGCAGAAGAGCCGGTTGTGACCACATGGGGTGAGGGGGCAAGGAAAGCATCTCCCCCCAGGTATCTTGCTCCCAACAGGTGAGCGACAGAAGTTCAGCTGCCATGCAAGCATGGGAGGACCAGTGGGCCAGAAGACCACAATGAGGAAGGATCAGGTGTAGAGGTGACTAGGTGCTCTTCTGAGGACTGGGGGCAGCTCAAGAGATTTGGGGAAGGAGTTACTTTCCCTCTGGACTTAGCTGGGAGTCTGTGTCCAGATGAGAAGCACTCTCTTCACAGGGCATGTTAAGCTGCTGAGAGCCACTCCTGTTTCCTGGTGCCACCATCAAGAAGCGAGCATCAGACGTTACCCTAGAGCGTGAGGTGGTACATTCCCTTCCTTGGCACCTCTGTTTGTTGGGGTCAGGAGGGAAGCCCGTTAATGAGAGCCAGGTATTGTCACAGGGGCCAGTTTAAAAAGAAAGTTGGGGCATTTCCTGGGGCTATAGAATGTTTTTAAAGAAAGGAAAAAACCATAGTTTTTCTTATTATATTTGTTCCTTAACAGTATTTTATTATATATTATAATATATATATATATTGCATTAGATATCATTATTGTGAAGAAATATTGTTAATATAAGTGACTAGAGAAGGACCAAAACAATATAAGAAGGACATATGCCATCATCCGTAATCAGGGTGGTTAACTTTATTATTTTCATTCTTGTCATCACTGTAAATGTGCCTAAACTCTCAGAAGTAATAATGCAATTCCCACTGCCAGTTTCCAAGACAATCATATCCTGTGCTTCATTCCTCAGTTTAAAAAAGTGGTGTTAGATTACGCATCCGTTTTGCTTTGCTTTGCTTTGCTTTTGGAGTTTGGCTTGGTGGAAAAAAGGTGGTGATTTGGTGTGGAGGAAGGAGAATTGCAAAGATGAACTGCAGAAGATGGTTTTCCGAGGAACAAAGGCCCGCGTAGACAACGTGCAAATCCTAAAGTGAAACACCTGTGACGATTCTCTGTTAGCACCAGGTTGGCATTTCTTGGAAGTGCAGCGCCTTGATTGCATTTACAGATGTGGCCGCCTCATTCCTCCTGTTTATACCTCTGGCCTGATTGGAAGAGTCGCTGTACACTGCTCAAAAGATCACCCCTTGCAGGGATACAATTTGTACACAGGTTGCTCTACTTGGGGCTCACGCATTTGCATATGCAAATGTGCCCTTGACTGCCTTTCCAAAGAGTCAGGGAGAGCTGGGTCTCTCCAGACAAGGCTTGACACTCTCAGGGCTGGTTCCTCTACCCATCTGCTTGGGCCTTTGCCTGTGGTTCCAATCCAGTAATAGGATTTATGCTAATACTCCAACCCAATGATCCAGTATGGAGATATGGGGATCCAGCCGCAAAACAGTGGCAGCACCCCCTTTTTCCTTCTTGGGACATATTCCAATACAGGAAGAGAATCACCCAGGAAAATGCCCCAGCGGACAGCTGGAGATAGATCGCTCTTGGTGGACCATTGGAGCTATTCTTGCTTTCAGGTGGGGATTTCCAAGCTCACCCGATCGCCAAAACTTTGGAATGCACTGGCAAATGCAGCCCGTTTGCCCCTAATCACCTTGATGCTGGGAACGAACAGGTTTGCCCGTGTGTTTCCGGCCAGCCCGGTAGGCCAAATCTTTCTGGAGTGCTTGAGAACTCCCAGAACCATCAATATCCCAAAGCTAACTATGGGGCCTTCTGGAAGGGCCCTAATCCCCCTTCCCCTTTCTGCCTTTTCTGTGCAGACTTTTTCAGTCTTGAGGGCCACTCCAGGTGCCTGTTGGTTTGATGGGGCTGTACGTAAGTTGCATGCACCTTCCTGCATTCATCGGAATACACCCCCTGTTCATGTACCCTTCACCCCAGCAGCTCGATCTTGCGGTAACAGCCTCAGAGCTTTCTCTCCTGCAACCCAGCTTAGCCATTCTAATGCAGTCCTCCAAAAGAGAAAGTCACAAAGGAAGGAACCTGTTTCGGACACTCTAGGAATAAGCTCGGTGGCAATCACAGAACCTGTTCCTAGAGCATTTCCCCCGCTTCCCTTCTGACCCCAACCACATGTTTTGATGTCGGCAGATGCCGTGTGTGGCCTAGACTTTTTCCACCCCCTGCTTTTAAGATTTGCATCTAGGGTTCAAATGAAATTGACTAGATTAACTGTTAAGCATTTTGGTTGGCTAATTAATTGATTGATCAATTAAAGGTGCATTAACATCCATCACCGAAAAGGAAATGCTACTGTTTTGCTTATTTTGAGAATGGACACCAATATTGTGAGGAACGCAATCGGTTGGAGGAGGCATTCTCCCACATGGAAGAAGAGCCCAAAACCCAACAGGTCATCCAATGCTTTCCCTGCGTTTATGCAGCTTTGCCCCCACTCTCAGTGGCTGAAATGTTCCTTCTACAGCTTCGTTACTGGCTGTAAGCGTTTTCAATTGAAATCGGTTGATAGCTTTAGTGCCCCTTCTCATTTTGCATTCAGCCCCACGGTTCTCGAGAGCTTCCCCAAACTGAAAGTCAACCGTAGGCTGAAAAGAGGTTCCGAGCTGCTGATCTAATGGATTTATTCTAAAGCAGCACCCATTCCTATGGGTTCAACATGGAGTCTCCTTTAGCAGCAGGGAACAGGGCAATCATTTCGGAGGAAGAATTGCGCATACCTGTTTATACCGATCTGTGCAGAACATCTTGCCACATGCACCCACCTATTTAGGAGATTAAGTGGTGGGCATGAAGGACGGGCCATTGGAGGGAGAGTGTCGCCTTCTGAAAGTAACCCCCATGCATATCAACAGGGTCTGGAAAGTTTCTAGGGAGCTTGGTTCTCTCACGGTCACCCTGGAGCTGCATCACAGAATCAGGGAGGTGGTCCATGAAAGCTCGTGGTGGGATTGTATGCAGGGAAGGCGATAAAGATGAAACTCCCTGGAAGATCTAGAGATCGAACTGCATGTCTACACAGAAGCCTCTGAACTGTGGTCCGCGTTGCACAGTCGGTGAACTTCACTGGTGCCCAGATCAATTCGGAACTATCCAGAACTAATAGCACAGTACAACCGTGGGAGCCGTTTCCTGGAGAGGTGGCGGGCTCCCCCGCGCTAGAGATGTTCCAAAAGAACCTGGACAATCGTCTGCGTGGGATGGTGAAAATTGGTGACTTGCAACAGCAGGGGATCAGATCCGGTGGCCTTCCGGGCCCCTTCCAACTCTAGTATTCTGTGGCAAAGCAAGGATGGCCTTTTGTGGCCTTTCTGATGTGGCAGGATTACAGCTCCCATCATCCCTGACAGGGACTGTTGGGAAATAAGAATCTAACAAAAATAATTCCATCCAACCCAAATAGGAATCTGGAGAGCCTCAGTTTTCCCAGCCCTCTTCTAAAGCTTAGATATGCCAACAAGAACACCCTTTTTGCTTGCCCAGTAGAATGTGAGCATGAAATTCTAACATTGCCACACGGTTTGTTTGTTTTTTTAAATCACTGTTCCATGGCTGCCATGCCAAAATATTCTAACTGAAGAGTAAGCTCTGCTGCATTTTGAGGATCTACTTCTGAGTAAACAGGCACATGAGTGTGTAGCAATGCACGGATTTGGAGGGTGTTTGCTCTTCCAAGTGTTAAGATGGTCTCACATGGTCAGGAGCTGTCAAGGTGCACGGATAACCCTTAGATGGATGTGACAGATTCATGCCTTCCCTGTCAAGCCCCCTCTGTCATGAGAGCTAAACAGGACCACCTCGGAATGCCAGATGTTGCAACATGTGGCAAAAAACAGCCATTGCCCTTGCTTATGTGCCTCTAAGAAGCATCTGAGTGAGCTGAGATGGGATGGATCTCTTGATGTCATCAAGGAAGTCCTTCTTCCTCTGGATAATGTCAACCCATTGCAGACCTTTTCCCTATAGAAATGAGCATCCATTTTCATTCCCTTTCCTTCTGCCCCACATCACACGAATCCGATTTGTTTTAACCTATTCGACTCTCCTTTTGGTGCACTTGATTTGAAAAGATAAGGAATCTACAACTTCTAAACTTGGTTTTCCATCCAGCTTGCTTTCCATTTGCAGCCCAAAGTTGCAGAGCGGACTGTAACTGTTCAGAGGGCCAGCCATGCCCTTCTTAAGACATCTCCATTCCATTCTTAGCAGTTCCATGGCCCTGAGAATGCCGAATCTTTATTGGGCTGTTCTGGAGGGGGGCACCCATTCTAGTTCCCTTGTCCCCCAAAACAGCTGTTGTCACTTTCAGAGAATGGATCTGGTGTTAGTATAGCAAATGAACACCACAATCCATTTCGCCACATATTAAATTTGTGTCTTGTTAATTCATTGACCCGCAGAACAAAATG